TAATAATAATAATAATAATAATAATAATATAATCTTTCGAAAAGGTAAAAGGTGCTGCAGGTGATTGTAAAGTTATTCTCCGCACAAAATTTCGATTGTGGCGTCCTAATATTTTTTGTTTTAAAGGTCCTGCAGGGGCGGATCCAGGATTTTTTTTAGGAGGGGGTGCACTCGTCTCTTGCTCTACTTGAACACTTTTTTTTGCAGAATACCAGTTGTATTAGAAAACCGCAGGTCATTTCGGGGGTGGAGAGGGGGGTGCGCACCCCCTGCACCCTCCCCCTAGATATTATCTCAGACCAAAAAGTTGGACTCATCTAAGAGAGTATCGTGTAAGAAAACAAACAACTTCGAGAAATAACTTCTTTATTAACTAGTTTTAGTACCTTATGGACCTCCACCATTTATTGGTAATTGACTATTCGTACAGGACCCGTACACCGACGTGTATTTGCTATTCATACTGGATTCTGACTATATTGATTAACCACTGACTCGAAACGATAAGCTTCTTTTTAGGGTTAGGGTTGTTGCTATATAACTCGAAATCAAAGCGCTTTTCAGCAACGAGTGTTCCGTGGTATAGTGGTTTAGGTGGTCATCTGCAGACACTATATCCCGGGTTCGATTCCCGCTCGATCTTGTCACGCTGAACTATTTTTCGTTTCAAACTATCACTGAATTTTTCCTTAAAAAATGGCATTAATTGAAAAGACGTACACTTTCATAACATTTGTTGAGCATAACTTTCATAGAAATTTCAAGAAAAGACTTAATCCCGTATGAACAGCAAATACAAGTTGGTGTACGGGTCCCACAGGAATAGCCACTGCCGTAATAAAAAGAGCAAAACTCTTGTCGGGGGGTGCTCGGTGGCTGTTCTTTGCCTAGCAACAGCTAGGACTTCTTGCCTCACCGCACTGAGGACTTTACCGCTGACAAGGCGGTTGTCTTTCCCTATTTTACCACTGGGACCGTGGTTGAGTTCTCCGAGGAGATGTCTGAGCACCCCCCTGTCAACTAGTAGGGCCCGGAGCGGAATCACCCATGAGTACTCATCTACTGGTAGACTTTCCCCGTACCCCAGTTATGCACCATCGCACGAGTCGTCAAGCAGGGATCAGATAGTGGCCAACTATCACCCCCCTAGACTCCACCGAATTTGTGCACTTAATGAACTTGACGAAAAATCTTCTTTATATTAGACTACTTTTCCCGTTTATCAGGCTTATGGTTTGTGGGCGCTCCAATAACAACAGCATACACGCATGCGCTTCGGGGTAAAACTAGAAATACGTTCACCGGCGAAAAATGTCTGCGCATGCTCTACCAAAAATGGCACGTGATCTATTTCGGGCAATGTCATTGACTCCGAGGCAAAAATGCCCGGGAAATGTTGTTGAGATGAAAGGAGTGATGGCAGCTTTTTTTGGCAGTGACAGCGTTCCAATTTCTTGCCACTGTAAGAGATCAAAAATTATTTTGGTCAAAGTTTTGACGTAAGTGTGTTCTCTAGAGAATATAGCGTCCTAAAACTGGCGAAAAATCGCATTGGCATGGTCTGATTCAGTGTTATTGACGTTGAGATCGCTGGTTTGCATGTGGAAGACATGCCGAAAAGGTGGGTAATTTTTGCTCTTTTTGTTTACTGCATGTTCCGTGCAACTCGGTACAAAGGGAAATTATAAAGTAGTGGAAGAAAAATTATTGGGGTTTGTTTTGGTATATAAATTAGCTTGTAGCGAGTTGCACGGAAGCGACAGTTTTGTTAAATGTGTATCCCGTTTTTGTGTCAAAATTTGACTTTGATTGTGAATCTAACATTCGATAACATTCGACTGTTGATCGAAGAGCGTATTACAATGCTATCCAAAATGTTTTGTTGTTTAGATCAAGTTTCTTATCACGGATTCCACAAAAAAAGTAGAGGGACAGACATTTTTGGGCTTTGTTTTGTTAATATGACTTAGCGTGTACTTTGTTGCTGGAAAAACTATATTTAGATGCTTAATCTCCGCATGTTTACACTGTTTATGGTAGAAAAATACGCTTACGCTTGGTTCAACTTAATCTCGTGTTACTCCGTACAAAAGGAAATTATAAAGAAGGTAAAGAATTATTCTTAGCGATTGTCTTGCTGTGTAAATTGTCTTGTGGCTAGTGGATCGAAAGCGGCCGGTTGCGGCAGTTTTCTAAAGTGCGTAGTTCGAAACGTGATTTTGTCGATCGATGCAAATTTCATTGTTGTTGCACGTTATTACAGTTTTGTATGTTACCATATAGAAATTTGAGTTTTGTGCGAACTGTCGAATGAGAAAATGTGAGAGTGTCTTCATTAAAACACTTGGACCGTCTTGGAGCTATAGTTCGATAGGTCCAGCAACATTCTGATTTGTGAAAAAATTCTGTTTGGAATGTGCAAAGCTGCCGTACATTTAGGCTTGCAATTTTATAATCGAAGGATCGAAGTTTAGATTGTTTTGCTCATAAATTTGGCTTGGTATTATCCACACAACGAGTTACTTTGTTAGGAACTGCACTTACAGACATGATTTCCTCCGTGTACAATTTTTTAGTACTAAATTTTTGCACACAAGGCTTTCTGTGGGGGGTGCTTCTTTGCTTGAAAATTGGATCCTGAAAGGAGATGAACAGGGAAATATTCCTGTGAATGCTTTTGTTTTTCTGTCCATCGTTTTCAGCTTAATTTTTGTTGGTGCAAAGTTATGAATGAATGATAGAGTTCAAAAGTTCTTTCCAAGAAAAAAAAATAATCCTCACAAATTAAACTTACAGGAGTTTAAAGTGTGGAGTAAACTTTTAGTCTTAATGAAATTTTAGTTGGATTATGTTGATGAATGATGAAAGTTGTGTAGGATATGCAGTTTCCAATTTTGATCTTCTGTCAGAATTATGACAGAATCTCAAATACAGATCTCATTCAAACATTATAGTTTCATTGTAATTATCATTTGTTTCTTTTCCTATAAACTTCTCATCAGGTCTACATTTTGCATGACTTTAATGTGATATATATTTGAAGGGGTTGTTGTTTCACAGTAAAGTATTTTTCACTTTGTTTTTTTGATATGAAGTTGAGTTTCTTCTTAGTTCTTGGCTAAGGCAGTGTTGAAGAAAAGAAAAGATTGATTGATTGATCCTGAATCAAACAAAGTGCAGCTTCACAAACAAGATTTTTGACGAACAAATGTATACTCAAGCAAAGTATATGTCCCTGACAGTGTCAATAAAATTTATTAATGGCAAGATCTGGGTTTTTACTCCTTTAGCACTTTTGACTAAGCATCAATTTTCTAACCTATATAGTAAAAAGATCATATAGTGTAATCAGTATTTTTCCAACTAACATATTTGCAATCAAATTTCTCTTCTTTTATATATAGTATTCCCCTAATTTTAAAAATTTCATTATCTTATTCTGATCAAGCACAGTAACCATTGAAAGAAGAAAGAAAAAAAAACCTGCTTGGTCATAGACGGCTTTAAAGTTTTGATGTTAAAATTGCAATGAAAAGAAGATGAATGCAGACACTACAATTCATTTAGCTCATGTTCAAGCTTTTTTTTATAAATTAGAAAGTCTTGCTGGAGAAAACATAATTTTGCTTTATCTTTTCGGTAAAATAAAATAATAAAATAACTTCCAGGTGTCTAACCAATTTTAAAGGACTCATAGTGTCTTATTTCTCCGCTGCATTGAGCTGTGAACAAAGGCCGTTCTTTCTAGTGACCCGGCTTTCATAAAAAACAAACGATGGATGTATTGCCGCCATTTTGAACGTGGTCGCGCGTCGACCAATCAGACGTTTTTCGCGGGTGAAAAGAAATACGTATCTCGCAACCCCTCGCAAAAAACTCGGTGTTGAGCACAAGTTATGTAAGAAAACTCTGCTTCTACGTGAGAGGCGAAACTAAGTGTGCTACTCAAGTTAAAAAGCCCTGAAGGAACGAGGTTGGAAACCGGATGGGTGATCAGTTGCGAACAGTACATGTATCAACTTGTATCCTTTCTCTGTTGTTTTTTCTTTTACTTTTTTCCTTGTCCTATTTGATTACTACATGCGTACAGGAAAACATATTTAGCAATATTTATTTTATTTTGACAATAAACAAGTCGTTGATGTATGTTTGCTGGAACAAAAATGCCGCGCAGCTGTCACGTGGCTATTATTTCACAGGAAAAATTTCAGAATCCCCATTTTGGGTTTAAAAAGGGAAATAATTGGGATTTCAAAGGGATTTCTTTGGGAAAACCCAAAATTGGGAAAGTGCTACCAAAACCAAGCATGGGTTTTTAAAATCCCATTTTATTCCCAATAATGGGATTTTTCAGTCCCAAGTTTTACAACAACAATGGGTTATTTTTGGGCCAGTTTTTTCCCAGTATTGGGATTAAAACTTCCCATTCTATCCCCAATAATGGGATTTCTAGGTCCCAAATTTTAGCCAATAATGGGTTATTTTTGAGCCTGGTTTTTCCCAATATTGGGATTGAAATTTCCCATCCAAATCCCAACAAGTCTAGAATAGACAAACAGCTTTTGTCCAAATCAACTATGATAATGCATTTTCTTTTCAAACAGTTTTAATACACTTAACTATATTTTTGGTTTAAATAAAAACATAGTGCATATTTTGTACAAATAAACTATTTGAATTTATTTATATAAGTAAGAAAAAATGTCTTAGAATTTCAAAATGTCTCATTTGAATGTGTCCATCAATGTCTCAAGTGCATTTAGACTGACTGGTTGTTCAATTTACAGTATAATATGGAAAGCATCAATACTTCTTGCTATAATAAACAATATAGAACATTAATGAATCCCAACACAACCTTTTTCAAATGTAAGGTGTTTCCATCGTTAAAACTGTCAGTACCCTTGAGGAAAGGTTATAACAATAAACTCTTTCAAAGTTTTCAGAAAAAAACACAGTCCTTTTAGGCATTAATTGTCATAAAATCAACATCATCACTATTAAAGTGATGAAAGGTAACTTGTTTCAGTCTCCTTGTTCACTTTTATCATAGCCATCTTCAGCTGCCTAGGATCAACAGGTTCATCAGGGATTTCCACATACTTGTGCCTTGCTGGCTTCTTGGACACCACTTCCAACAGTTGAGATAGTGTGAGGGGCGTGAGATTTCTAGGTGTGACAGAGAATCTCTTCTTCAGCAGCTTTGAGATCTCCTGTCCACCCAAAACACTTCCACATATAAATCTCACAATCATCTTGCAAAGTTTTGGTGACAACTGAATACTGCTACCGCCCTCTGCAGTACTAGCCTGAGAAGGTGGTGGGCCTCCTTTTTCGTTTTCAGAGTTATCTGGTGAAAGTGGTGATCCAAAGCTACCAATATCGCCACTGTCCTGCAATTTTAAAATCAGTAATGCAAATCAAAAACCTTTAACCTTCAATGTTAAAAAAATAATAATAATCCAAAGGGAAGAAAACAGGGCTTTGACCAGTTTAGGATGTTATGTACCAGTAACATACAAAAATATTTTTAGTGTATTATATATCATAAGCTTATATATTAGCTGAGATGAAAACCTAGAAAGCTATGACCTGCACTTCTGCCAGTTTTACATATTCAAGACATGTATCGTGCGAGACAGTTTTTTTATTCTCAATCAAGTCAGTGCTTGGAACGGGTATATAAAATAAAAGAGATTTTACATTTAATTCAAAGAAAAGGAGAAGTAAGCTTTAAACCTCAACCTCTCGACTTCATGAAACTTTTTTTCTAGCAAAAGTTCAGTATGTAGGCAAAATGGACGGCCATGGAATAAACAAGTAAACTTTACATTTGCTAGGAAATATTAATGTAATATTGTTCAAGTCTTCGCCAATGCAAAGTACCACAGATTGTTGTTGTTCAATAAAAGCACGCCAAAAAGTAAAAGAAAACTAAAAAAGAGAGAAACTTGGAAGGTTTGTAGCATTCTGGGCCGTTTCCCGCCGAAAATAAAAGCAACGTTCGTACCTTCAAACGCTTTCCCCACTGCTTCTCCACAACATTCTTTGATTCGTTTTAAGATTTCCTCTGCACTTGGATTCTCCTTATCCTCAAATTGTTCTTTTCGTTCATCTTTATCCGTTTTCTTTCGCTCTAAGTCTGAATTACGTGAGGACGAAGCAAGAAACAAAGCCATCTTCTGAACGGGAGTTTGAATCGAGCGAGCCGTTCTTGTGCGCATGCGGGGAAAGAGAACTGGGGCAAGCATTCTCGTCCCCAAGGCCACTCGGCTTTCTTTCTTTCTTAAAGACACGCGGCGATGGCGACTGGAATAGAAAATTTAACTCTACAGTAACTTTTACCTGATCCAATTTTTCACCCAAACTTTTCCCACCGTAGGAAAGCTATGTCCCATTCCTTCCTAGAATTGGGAAAATCCAAAAACATTTAACAACTCTGTTCCCAATGTTTTCCCATTTTGGGAAAAATATTTCCCAAATCCAAAAAAAATTGGGACGAGTGGAATGAACTCTTAAGATTTCCCAATATTTTCCCAAAACAGTACTTTCTATTTTCTCCAAGACAAAATTTTCCCAATTTTTTTGTCCAATATTTTCCCAAAGAAGGAAATTCAAGTCCCAATTTTTCCCCAGAATTGGGTAAATTCCCATAATATTCTCAAAATGGAGTTTTGAAAATATAATTATTATATTGTCCCAAAAAAATCCCTTTTTTGTGATCTTAAAAGTAGTTCAACTTCCCAAAATTTTCCCAATTTTGGTAATTTCGTTCCCAATTTTTCCCCAATATTATCCCTAAATTGGGAAAATTTACAGGAATTTCCCAATTTGGGAATCTGAAATTTTTCCTGTGTTTGTGACCAATCAAATTCATTGACAAAAACTAAGTAAGACTTTAGTTCGGCAAATCATTTTGCTTTTTTACCGTTCCTCAGGAAGATCTTATCCGAGCAATGTCACAGATAATTTGCTTCAATGTCACCTTAAGACTGGGAAGGAATTTGCGTAAAGGTAAGGTGGTGCTGAGTACATGTTTTTTTTTTCGTGTTTGAAAGTACCGTCGGACGCTGCATGTTCGTCGAACACTAAATTATCTCAAGGGCGATATGTTCAAGTGCTCGTTTCGTTTTATTTGTATACTTTTTTATTTCTATGATTTTGATGATCAATTATTGGGCTTTATTTCTGATGGGTTCTTTCACAAGCTTTCAGAAAAGACGGTAATCACGCGAATCCCCAGTAGTTTTACATGCAAGTGATAAGTGATGTAAGCATGAAATCAACCCAGTCAGTAAATCAATTGTTCAAACTTTTCCACAGTGATAGTGTTTACTGGTTTCTAGTTCAGGCTTCGCTGTCACCAAATATAATTTTTTATCATCATTTCAGAGTAAATCATTTGTGTGATATGGTGGGAGATGTGTGGTGAAACAAATAAACATTCTTTTTCCTTGCGTTGATGACAGTCAATGAAGCTACACCAGTGAAGTGCAACTTCAATATGACGAACCACTATATAACCAAGTCGTCGGTAGATTAGTAATGGACTGTATTTACGCTCCAATAAATAGTATTGTTATACATCAGACTCACTATGAAAAATCTGATTGGTCGAGAGCATTCAATCAATTCACAATATCTTGTGACATGATAAATGCAATTTCTGCTGCAGATATTGCATTTATCATGTCAAGTTCAACGTCTGCCTGGTTACCAAGCCCCTTGGAGTGTTCTCCTCAGAAACAGAATGGCTGAACGCTTCGCTTCTGAGGATGAATTATGTCCATTAATTGAGGAAAAAGATTCAAAAAACTATTTTAATGTATACTTTATTCAGAAAAAGGTTTTATGATTCTATTTTTTAAATTTGTAAATGATCCTGGTTAAGCTTATCAGTGTCACTTTCACCTTAGTTTTGAAATAAGCCATTTTTCAACAAATGAATGTCCTCTTTTGCCTATTGTTTAAAAAATGTATAATAAAACAATTATTGAATTCGGTTTTCGCATGATATCATGAATTATCAAAACCTCGTGTCTGTGTTATCTGCCGAAGCGGAAGGCTGAGGCAGATAACACAGACCTCGGTTTTGATAATTCATGATATCATGCTCAACCTCATCCAATGATTGTTTAAAATATACCGAACAACTGCGAAATAACGAGACCTCGTTATAGTAAACATATTCTGCCAGTCCCTTTGCCATTCGTTATATCAAGGTTCCAATGTGGTGCTTTCTCTCTCCCTAGGGGATGGTTGAGTGTAAGTAGTGATTTACCCAACCTAATCATCAATGAAGAGTGGCACATACTATATATACTGTGGGTATTTACCTTGTCACTTTGCTGCTTGAGAAAAAAATACTCCATTATCCAACTCAAGGCTTTGGTGAAAAACAATTCCCACAAATGCAGGGCATTGATGGCAAATTGGACTGGAATAACACTACCTTATCTGCCATTGCATGCAGTGCATGTTCCAACAGAAGTTGTAGTTTGCACTGACCAGAGGGCAACGAGTAAGCATGTCACTCTGATTTCTGCTGGCTAACCTGAGTAGTATTCATTATCCCTTAATGGAGATGAACGAAAACATACTTCACAGAAAATAATATAGGGTTGTTAATTTTTCACCATGTTCCCTCAACTGATGAAGTGAAGGGGTTATTAAAAGTGGCCAACAAGTGGGTCTCTTAAAATAGGGTAGCTATTGTCTCTTAAAATATAGTAGCTATTGTATTTAAAAAGTTTACAAAGGAACCTATTAACCAGTGCATTATATGTCACATTAAAAAGATCAATTTCGCTTCCCTAACAGAAAATTTGAAATGAAAAAAATTTAGGTTAACCCTTTAAACCCTAATATCAAAATTCAAATTCTGATTTGTTATCTTCATACGTTTTCAATAGAAGTAGTGGGGAGAATTCGTTGAAGTATCAATTAGATTCATCTTGTGTGATCATGTCCTCAATTCCCATGACCACTTTGTTTTATAAAGGAGTGATATTACAAAGAGAAATTTGACACTGGTCACTCTAAGAGCTTGAAGGGTTAAGCCGCCCTGTGGGAACAAAAAACATGCAAGACCTTTGCAAACTTTAAGACGGAATCCACTAGGAAATTGAGTAATTTTAATTCTCAGTGGACAAAAACCTTGCACCAGAATAGTTTAAAGAATATTGCATTCTTTTTGAGGCCTAAAGATGTAATTAGTCAACTGTAATAACACCAAAGAAAATTTCTCATGGGAGTCTGAGAAAATGAATGTCACATTTCAATAGAATTGTGAAAACACAGGTAAATCTCTGTCTCTCTTTCATATGAAGATGTAATTTTGTGAAATTTGATATTCATTTTCTCGGGCTCCCATGAAAAATTTTCTCTGGTGTTATTACAGATGATATATTACATCTCTTGTTATTTGGGCGTGGCCCAAATAGAGTAATCGAGATGGCTTGTTTTGACGCAAACTTGCAATAGGCACGCAATACGTGCTAACGTAAACAAGGCAAGTAAAAAGGAGAAGCGAGGCAAATGTCAGCCATGCGAACGTCCTGTACAAGGTAAGAGGCATGTTGGAAAGTAAGCTCCGCTAGCAAGGTACTTTATCCCACTTTTACAATCTCAAACATTAATCTGAATGTTCAGTATTTTTACCTCATCTAAGTTTGGAAGTTTGAAGTCCGGAGATGAAAACTGTTAAAAATATTTGTACTATAACGGGTTTTCGTCGCAATAAGACTTTGAGCGATGCTGAATTGTTCTGAGGTAGAGAGCGAAAGGAGATGTTGCGCAAAAATATTGTTCCTTGCAGCCTAGAAAGATTAAACGAAAGATGACAAATACATTTAGGAATTAATGAAAGAACTTAAAAAGGAATTGGCTTATTGTCGGTACTAAAGGAGAATTTTAATAGATTCACGTGCGTGTTTGCTCGTAAGTGTTAAAGTCACGTAAGTGGAAAAAATTTGGATAAATACAGCTGTTTTGAGACGTTTATCATGATGATCTTGTCTTACATATCAAAATGTACGAATCAATATGTGAGTTTTTGGTATGGGGCTTTCGTGAACAATGTGTATTTGATAATGTGTGACATTTCTTTGACGAGAGGATCGAAATGCACCAATCATACAGTCTAGTGAGTCTCTTATTGAAATAAACCACCCATCATGAGGCAGCGTTCATTCGAGGGCGGCGTTTAATCGAGGAAATACGGTACGCTTAGTACAACCACGCCCAAATATACGCTCCCACAGAATCTTGTTCAGGATTCGACACTTTTATACTAGAAATACGGTTTTAATTTCCGTGTTATTGCTACCACAAGAGTAAAATATTAAAAAAGCCGAGTAACATTAAATAAAAATTATTAAAAATTCAACTGTGTAATTGTTGAATTGTGTTTGATTGCTTCCGCCAGTGCAGTACAGTCACCAGTACCAAGTCTATTGGATGACAAATTCAACTGTGTTATTGTTGAATTGTGTTTGATTGCTTCCGCCAGTGCAGTACAGTCACCAGTACCAAGTTGATTGTATGTCAAATTCAACTGTGTAATTGTTGAATTGTGTTTGATTGCTTCCGCCAGTGCAGTACAGTCACCAGTACCAAGTTCATTGTATGTCAAATTCAACTGTGTTATTGTTGAATTGTGTTTGATTGCTTCCGCCAGTGCAGTACAGTCACCAGTACCAAGTTCATTCCTTAACAAATTCAACTGTGTTATTGTTGAATTGTGTTTGATTGCTTCCGCCAGTGCAGTACAGTCACCAGTACCAAGTTCATTGTATGTCAAATTCAACTGTGTAATTGTTGAATTGTGTTTGATTGCTTCCGCCAGTGCAGTACAGTCACCAGTACCAAGTTGATTGTATGTCAAATCCAACTGTGTAATTGTTGAATTGTGTTTGATTGCTTCCGCCAGTGCAGTACAGTCACCAGTACCAAGTTCATTGTATGTCAAATTCAACTGTGTAATTGTTGAATTGTGTTTGATTGTCACCAGTACCAGATTGTATCTCAAATTCAACATTGTTGAATTGTGTTTGATTGCTTCCGCCAGTCACAGTCACCAGTACCAAGTTCATTCCTTGACAAATCCAACTGTGTTATTGTTGAATTGTGTTTGATTGCTTCCGCCAGTGCAGTACAGTCACCAGTACCAAGTTGATTGTATCTCAAATCCAACTGTGTAATTGTTGAATTGTGTTTGATTGCTTCCGCCAGTGCAGTACAGTCACCAGTACCAAGTTCATTGTATGTCAAATTCAACTGTGTTATTGTTGAATTGTGTTTGATTGCTTCCGCCAGTGCAGTACAGTCACCAGTACCAAGGCCATTCCATGACAAATTCAACTGTGTTATTGTTGAATTGTGTTTGATTGCTTCCGCCAGTGCAGTACAGTCACCAGTACCAAGTTCATTGTATCTCAAATCCAACTGTGTAATTGTTGAATTGTGTTTGATTGCTTCCGCCAGTGCAGTACAGTCACCAGTACCAAGTTCATTGTATGACAAATCCAACTGTGTAATTGTTGAATTGTGTTTGATTGCTTCCGCCAGTGCAGTACAGTCACCAGTACCAAGTTGATTGTATCTCAAATTCAACTGTGTAATTGTTGAATTGTGTTTGATTGCTTCCGCCAGTGCAGTACAGTCACCAGTACCAAGTTGATTGTATGTCAAATCCAACTGTGTAATTGTTGAATTGTGTTTGATTGCTTCCGCCAGTGCAGTACAGTCACCAGTACCAAGTTGATTGTATGTCAAATCCAACTGTGTAATTGTTGAATTGTGTTTGATTGCTTCCGCCAGTGCAGTACAGTCACCAGTACCAAATTCAATTGTATTGACAAATCCGCCAAGTACAGTCACCAGTACCAAGTTTATTGTTGAATTGTGTTTGATTGCTTCCGCCAGTGCAGTACAGTCACCAGTACCAAGTTCATTCTCTGACAAATTCAACTGTGTTATTGTTGAATTGTGTTTGATTGCTTCCGCCAGTGCAGTACAGTCACCAGTACCAAGTTCATTGTATGACAAATCCAACTGTGTTATTGTTGAATTGTGTTTGATTGCTTCCGCCAGTGCAGTACAGTCACCAGTACCAAGGCCATTCCTTGACAAATTCAACTGTGTTATTGTTGAATTGTGTTTGATTGCTTCTGCCAGTGCAGTACAGTCACCACTACCAAGTTCATTGTATCTCAAATTCAACTGTGTAATTGTTGAATTGTGTTTGATTGCTTCCGCCAGTGCAGTACAGTCACCAGTACCAAGTTCGTTCACTGACAAATTCAACTGTGTTATTTTTGAATTGTGTTTGATTGCTTCCGCCAGTGCAGTACAGTCACCAGTACCAAGTTCATTGTATGACAAATTCAACTGTGTTATTGTTGAATTGTGTTTGATTGCTTCCGCCAGTGCAGTACAGTCACCAGTACCAAGTTCATTGTCTGACAAATCCAACTGTGTTATTGTTGAATTGTGTTTGATTGCTTCTGCCAGTGCAGTACAGTCACCAGTACCAAGTTCATTGTCTGACAAATCCAACTGTGTTATTGTTGAATTGTGTTTGATTGCTTCCGCCAGTGCAGTACAGTCACCAGTACCAAGTCTATTGCGTGACAAATTCAACTGTGTTATTGTTGAATTGTGTTTGATTGCTTCCGCCAGTGCAGTACAGTCACCAGTACCAAGTTCATTCAATGACAAATCCAACTGTGTTATTGTTGAATTGTGTTTGATTGCTTCCGCCAGTGCAGTACAGTCACCAGTACCAAGTTATTGTCACTGACAAAAGTTATTTTGAATTTTGATTGCTGACAAAGTACAGTCACCAACTGTGTTATTGTTGAATTGTGTTTGATTGCTTCCGCCAGTGCAGTACAGTCACCAGTACCAAGTTCATTCCATGACAAATTCAACTGTGTTATTGTTGAATTGTGTTTGATTGCTTCCGCCAGTGCAGTACAGTCAGCAGTACCAAGCTTATTCCGTGACAAATCCAACTGTGTTATTGTTGAATTGTGTTTGATTGCTTCCGCCAGTGCAGTACAGTCACCAGTACCAAGTCCATTCCCTGACAAATTCAACTGTGTTATTGTTGAATTGTGTTTGATTGCTTCCGCCAGTGCAGTACAGTCACCAGTACCAAGTTCATTGTTTGACAAATCCAACTGTGTTATTGTTGAATTGTGTTTGATTGCTTCCGCCAGTGCAGTACAGTCACCAGTACCAAGTTTGTTGTATGACAAATTCAACTGTGTTATTGTTGAATTGTGTTTGATTGCTTCCGCCAGTGCAGTACAGTCAGCAGTACCAAGCTTATTCCGTGACAAATCCAACTGTGTTATTGTTGAATTGTGTTTGATTGCTTCCGCCAGTGCAGTACAGTCACCAGTACCAAGTCCATTCCTTGACAAATTCAACTGTGTTATTGTTGAATTGTGTTTGATTGCTTCCGCCAGTGCAGTACAGTCACCAGTACCAAGTTCATTCACTGACAAATTCAACTGTGTTATTGTTGAATTGTGTTTGATTGCTTCCGCCAGTGCAGTACAGTCACCAGTACCAAGTTCGTTCACTGACAAATCCAACTGTGTTATTGTTGAATTGTGTTTGATTGCTTGACAAATTTCACCAGTACCAATTTCTTCCGCCAGTGCAAGTATTGTTGAATTGTTGTTTGATTTTGATTGCCAGTACAGTACAGTCACCAGTTCATTGTCTGACAAATTCAACTGTGTTATTGTTGAATTGTGTTTGATTGCTTCCGCCAGTGCAGTACAGTCACCAGTACCAAGTTCATTCCTTGACAAATTCAACTGTGTTATTGTTGAATTGTGTTTGATTGCTTCCGCCAGTGCAGCCAGTCACCAGTACAGTCACCAGTATTGTTGAAGTTTTGATTGCTTCTGCCAGTGCAGTACAGTCACCACAAAGTTCAACTGTGTTATTGTTGAATTGTGTTTGATTGCTTCCGCCAGTGCAGTACAGTCACCAGTACCAAGGCCATTCCTTGACAAATCCAACTGTGTTATTGTTGAATTGTGTTTGATTGCTTCCGCCAGTGCAGTACAGTCACCAGTACCAAGTTGATTGTATGTCAAATCCAACTGTGTAATTGTTGAATTGTGTTTGATTGCTTCCACCAGTGCAGTACAGTCACCAGTACCAAGTTGATTGTATGTCAAATCCAACTTTGTTATTGTTGAATTGTGTTTGATTGCTTCCGCCAGTGCAGTACAGTCACCAGTACCAAGGCCATTCCATGACAAATTCAACTGTGTAATTGTTGAATTGTGTTTGATTGCTTCCGCCAGTGCAGTACAGTCACCAGTACCAAGGCCATTCCATGACAAATTCAACTGTGTTATTTGAAGATGCGAGCCAAGAGTACGAGCTAAGAACAGATGGAGGGTACAACTCTTACATTCTTTAATGCATTCCAATGCAACTGAGAACGTAGCGTTATCCTTTACCTTCTTAGCAATACACGAGACGAAAGTCTTTATCGCTTCTTGCGATTGCGAAGCTAGCATGCCGCATGTGAACAAAAACACCTGTTTAAGCTCTTTAAAATATCTGTCGTCGGCAATTAAGGTTTCTGGACAAATTTCGTTGTCTAGAACCTGGCAACAGAGGTAAAATGCGGCAAACAGTTCCTGAAATGTTTTGTGCAAAAACGAATAGTTGAGAGATGGTCTCACTTTTTGAGGGCTACACTCAACGGACAAGAAGCCGAATTCAGGTAATTCTTCTGAGCAATTTTTAAACTCGGCTTCTTCGAGGGACATGTTATTATGAAGCAGACCGTTCCACGCGATGGAGCCAAGCTGTCTTAGTTGAGTTTTGTATACTTTAGTGAGGTCTTCGTCCTTGGTATTTGGTAATGGTAATCCTTTCTTTTTCCTATATCTTCTAAGAACACACTCTACCATTTCTAGATACAGCTGTGTACCACTTTCTGGAAAAATACCATCAGAGTCCTCACAAAGAAGACAAAGAAGTACAGTGTTTAAAGGACTTTCTGTCAACTGTTGGAGGTTTTTGTCAGACTCTAGTTTGTTTAAAAGCTTCTGGGCCAAATGCGGTTCCGCTTTGAAATACCTGAAAATGAACTCTCGGGCGTCTTCTTTAGTGAAACCTTCAATTTCTAGCAAGGTATCGCAGCACTCTCGCACCTCCATCCCAACCTCTTGTCGTGCTGTAGCTACAATGTAACACTTTGGTAGCACTCTTCCTTGAATGACTTCCTTAAACGCTGCAAACATATTGGCAGGCAACTCATCCAATCCGTCAAGTACCAGTAAAATATCGGGCTGATTACAGCGAATGAATCTGAAGAATTCTTCCTTATCTTCTTTTGTGCAATCTCGAGGCAGAAGCTGGGAATCAATGGCGTCCCAAAGGACAGACTTGAAGATTTCGTTCAGTTTCTCTTTTTTTCAGATCGAGGAGAGGTTGTCCTTCGGTTGCCTCGAAAAGGCAAGACTCTATTTCTCGGCATTTAAGCAGTAAAACAGCTTGGAAGTTTGGAAAAAAACTTCCTGAAGGATTTTCTTGTTTGTTCGCTGCCCAATCGTAAGCAAGTTTATTACAGAATGTGGTCTTTCCTATACCTGGCCTCCCTTCAATTAAGACCGTCCTAGGATGAGCGCATTCTTCGTGGGGTTTGAAGATATCTTTCATAGTAACAGTTTCATCAGTCTTTGTTCCCCTTTCTTTCTTTCTGCTCACTATTTTGAGTCTGGTAAAATTGTTATCAAGGCTTAATCGAAACTTTTCCCACCATGGAAAGGGTGCAAACCATCTTTCACGGGTGCTGTAGAGTTGGCGAATGCTATCAACAGATCCAGTTGGGTAAAAACCACCTGAAAATAAAAGACATATCGTGGTTAAGTCGAACCCCCACTTTACAGACACCTCCTTAATACGGACATCTCGTTGTTTTATGGACAGTTTCTTTTAACACTGGCAAGAGCCCTTATATTGTCTTAAAATTCAACCCGCTTTAAACAGACACCTGTAAGTAAGTCACCTCTGTAGAGTGCATGGCATATAACTACTAATTTCGAGCTCTTCCGAGTTTCCACTGACTTTTCCCCGTTTTTGAAGTTCATTACGGGAAAGTGAGAAAAACAAGTTTCACTCTTTTAAAGCAAAACATTCAAATTAGTCCCTTTACACCAAGTCTTGCTTTGTGATGACTCAATCTAAAGCGAAACGACGATCACGGTTATAATTCTTTTCATCTATTGGGTGATAAAGCAATGTTCAATCTCTAGCGACAATCACTCTAATACAAGCACAGACTGTTAATAGAGATCAGCTTAATCAAAACGATGGCGACGACAACGCGTGTCACTAAAACGTAAGGCAATTCCCTTGTTTTGCACTGCGCATAACATGAAGACGTCAAAGCTGGTGGTAATTTTCACCAGTCACCTGAAAAGAGGCAACGGCTCTCTTTATAGTTTTAATCGTTTTAACTCTCCCAGGTTAAAATGGTGTTGGGCTTAAAACTCGCCCTACTCCCCGCCGCGCGTAAATGCCATTTGAAGCCGGAATTGCCCCTTTGTTGACTCTTTGCAAGGAAACGAAAACGGTGATCCCCTTTTCTATTGGTTTTTACTGGTTATGGCTACAAGAAAAATATATTTAAAGGAGAAAAAAAATTCTGGTTAGTAGAAGTTGTATTTTTTTTATAATAATGGCGTAAAATGCCGTATTTGGAAACACAGTATAAATGGTCCATGTTTTAAATTACTTCCAAGATGGAGCAATTTAAAGTCACCATACTGAGAAATTATAGCCCAGATCACCAAACGGGTTTTAGATTTTAGTATATTTCATAGTTTTTTTTTGTACGAGAATGATTTTTGACGGTTGTTCCAGCTTCGAACATTCCGTGCGCAACTTGGCAAAAAACACTTAGAATAACGGGCTCGCGGGGCGAAATCAAGCAAGGTGACCCCGTCCATTTACTGCAGATTTTCAATGTACTGACTGTCAATTGGACCAAGTTTTCAAAACACTTGATAGTACACCCTTGTTAGTTAGACGGGGTCTAGGGTTTATCGTTTATATCCGAGAAGACTAGAAGTCTAACCGTTTGCAGATGTCTTTCCAAAGGCAGCCCTTTCTCCTCAGATATTTAAACACCCGGAGTGTTGGTCCGGCTGGGGCTTGAACCAGCGGCCTCCAGCTCGGCAGACCGGCGCTTAACCAATTGAGCTAACCAGGCGGGGTTAATGAAGTGCGGTGGTTGTGAAGCCCGGCCAACTTCACTGTCATGTTTTTGTAAGCTTTTTTGGACTTGACCGTGCACCTTTCATTGTGAACTAACGGAACAATAGCAACGTCCTATAAATTTATTCAGGCATAATTTGTGAACCAAGACAAAAGATTGTACACGCTCAGCTAGCTCCCAACATAACCCGCACCCCATTGTTACCATCTTTGATTTTTGCCGGCTTTCAGAACCTGTCTCCTGTACTAAAGTAACGGGACTACTTGTACTATTTTCCTTCCCATGATCTGGAAATTCAAGAATATAAAAATAACCAGAATTTCAGCCGTCTCCTCGAGTCGCAAACTTTTTTGGTTTACGACATTATTAAAACAAGTTGCTTCTTCTTTCGGAAAATGTAAATTATATAACTTGAAAGATGGCTGCCCTTAAATACGGAAACAAAATTCTATCACTGAATTGGAAGTATAGATTTCTTCGAGAATCTCTTGATTGATTCTAATTTTCCAACAATTTAAGGTCGAGATTTTGAACATTGTATCTGCTGTTATTAACGGTTCTGTGTAAGCATAGTATTTTTGTATAAAGAAAGAAAAAAGACACAACTAGTTTTAATAATGCAGTAAACAAAAAATACACCATTAAATCTGGATGAAACCAAACGTAATTGTGAAGTGTTTTTGTAAAGGCCCACTGGTTTGTTATGCTTTAGTTGTGTAGACGCAGCATTTTCAGTTAATTTTTCGCACGTTTCTTTATAGTTTGCCGATAAAATGCACATGGTTTAAAGAACTAAAAGGAAACTAATATTACTTTTCGATAAATCTTTGTAATTAGCAATTATTGAATGAATAATGAGTGACTTTATTATAGTTGCTACATTTTGCATGATGTGCCGTGTGCTTTTGTTCATATTTATTGTTTCCAGGAAATGTATTAGTCGGTTGCTCTATTCAAACCTGCTGGCTACTTCAATTTTTATTGCAACCCCTGCAGCCGGATGGGCCACTTGGTTGAAAGCAGGCTTTAATCTACCCAACACTTAACTGAGGGATTGATATGGCTGTATCGCAGACTCTTGAATAAAAGACTTATCCAACGCAAAAACTTGAAAAACTTGTATTTCACAATTCAGTTAACTTTAGAGCACATTCATGTGACTTTTGAGGGAAAGGCTAAGTGATCTTAGAGAAAAATAATTTGCAAACAGCCCAAGATTAAACCAAATCTTACATCGAGTTGATAGCCTCATATGTACACCTAAAAACTGGCAATCATCTTCGATCACATTTAAAAGCCATAATAGCTCTTGATCACCGTAGACTAATTAGGTCTGGAAAAAAAAACAGGCCGACCTTTTTGCGTTCGACAAGTCAGTTTAGTTTACAAAATCTGGGTGCGTGTAAACGAACCCTTTATACCATTTATACATCACATCTGAGGTGAAACAGTACTGTGAGGCACTGTTTTGATCATACAGACCTCGGACAGAATGCAGTATTTCACAATTTTGCAATACAAATTGCACCCATTCAATATTCAGGACGATTGAAGCATGCGTGGGCTTTTAGCTAAACCGTTAAAAAAATTTCCAAAATCACCTATACGGCCAGCCGGTTCTCATTTTTGCAGTGCGAGATGTGGTCGAGTGTTTGAATAACGAGAGTTTTTTGAGTTACGCTCCAACATAACAAAGCTTTTATTATGTTTATTTTTTATTTAATGGTTTTATCGATGGGTAATCTTCAAAAGCGTTTGATTCGCGCGGCATTTTGAGTACTCCTGCAAGCAATGTTCACTGAACGACTGAAAACAAACGGCACAGCGATTAAAATTACAAGAGAGACTACTAACAATCAACAAAAGAATTATAATTCGGTGAAGCATATACAGAGAAAACAATTTTCATTCACGAAGACAAGTGTCTCTACAAATCTTGACTGTTCAAGCTTAAAGCTTAAGTTTGTGTTTTAAGCCGGCTTCCCGGTGTTTGCTTTTTTCAAAGATGAACTCGAGGCATGAAAATCGCTCAAAGCTTTCTTTTACAGCCAGAATTATAACTAAATATTCTTTGGAACGTTTTCTTTCTATTTGCGGTGAGAAATTGTCGAAAGGCTTTTTAAAGTTCTGTAAGCTTATATCAAACTTGATACTCGGCCAGATCATTGTCTCAAATCTTACAAACGAGCATAAACTAAATAGCCGCATAAACTACGCCCGACTTCATTAAAAACAAACATCAAATACAATAATTACTCAGGCTTACTATTCGAGATCAGTCCCTGAAAGGTATCAAGTAAAGCCAGTATCGCTTCAGACTTTTCAACCCTCTTACGCATCAAGCACGGTGAAAAATGAAAACCATGCCATCCGAAATCGCATTTCCGACTTTTACTCAACCAAAAACCCAATAAACAAACAAGCCATGAATAACAGAATACTCCTGATACTAGCTGAATTTCATTTTGTACATCCTGAGCCCGCGATACGGTCAAGTGATACTGGTCAGCAGATACCCTGTTTTGACAGCTGTCACATCACAACATTGATATCCAATATGTGTGCATTATCAGTTTTTCTGCGCTCCCAAAATGGCTGGAAAGTATGAGATTGAACATTGATCGCGATCTAGTAAAACCATTAACTGGTCAGCAGACAGATTCCAAATAAATCACGTCACCTCGGTGAGTTGACATATGAGCCCGCGATATGGTCATGTGATACTGGTCAGTGGCTATCCTGTTTTGACAGCTGTCAATTGACTATCCCCTGGACCATATTGTAAATGTCCAATGTAAAAGATGTTGATATTTACAAAGACACCCCTGAGAAACCCCTCCCTTCCTTTTGATTGTCTCCCCTACCCTACCCGTACAATCTGTAGACGAGTACGTACGTAAGCTCGGTCCATCACGTGACAACCAAACGAAAACAGGTTGACCATATTCGCGGGAGCCCCGCTAAAAATATTTTTGTCAGCTTTCTTTGACTTGACCGTGCTTAACGTTTATTAGCATTCCCACCATGTTGACTGAATCAACAAGTAGAAACGAACCAAAATCAAACGATTGTGCATGGTAAGGGAGCTCTCCACATAAACTGCAACACGGTTGATTTTAGGCAGCTTTCATAACCATTCGCCTCTATCAACTATATTTTAGCAAAAAAGTTTCGAACGATCTTAACAGTTTCATTATACCCTTAGTAGAGTTCTATACCTTGGTCATTGTGAGTCTGCTTCACGTTTAAATCTGAAGGCCCTGCAGCAACACCAGGTCTAACGGTACCACTTCCAACACTTGCCTCTCCATGATCTAGACGTTCAAGAATACAAAAAAGAAAGAATGTTAACGCAAATTAGAAGGCCACCTACAATTGAAACTAGCTTAACGTCGTATTATCTAGCCTCTTGAAATTCCAAATTGCTAAGATAGAATAACTGAATCCACGTAGCTCTCCAAACATTTCCTCTAGTTCTCAATTTAATACAAGTAGTTCTCATTACAGTAAAAACCCGCGTGTAATTATAAGAACTTAGTGGTTTAACAAATTGCTGGTAGAAATTTACCATCTTAATAACAAAAAATAATAACAGCCTGTTTAGCCAAGCAAGATCAAGCAGGTTCCTATATGTGGGTTACAGTTCAATTATTATGATAAACACTTTTAAAAAGCCAATGGGGTTTGACTTTGAAAATACAAATTTAAAAAACAAGAATATATAGACAGATGCATTGTAACCGCATTGCATATAATTGCATATGTACATTCTGTAATCAGTTTTATTAGGCTTATCGTGATACAGTTGTGAATAAATACTGCATAATTTAAGGACCGAACTCAAGTTTATTTATTTTTTTGGTCATCAACAACTATATCTCCTTTATAGAAAATAAGAATCTAATTAAGAACCTACTTAGCCTAAACTGCCAATAACTTACCCCCAAAATACAAGAACCTATTTCTCCAGACTTGACAGAGATATGAATTACAAAAACCCAAAAATATATAGTTGAAAATAACAACTCTGGGAATTTTTCAGTGATAAAAATTGCTTTAAATGCGCAATTTATAAAACAAAAGGGGTGGGGAGGTCAAGAAATTCCAGAATATGAAAGGATAAAAATTGAGATGGAGGATTAATATGAGATCTCAAAATCAATGTGAACCATCCACGTCTATTTAAGGTTAACAGAGACTGTGGTTATCTGATACAGTCAGATCAGAACAATCTGACACCCCCCCCCCCCTCCCCTCTCGTTAAATGCATGTACTATCATATGCATGGAGATTATCAACATTGGTCAGAAGACAAATATCCACATACTTCTGACAAGGACATTGAGAAACATGAAAAGTGATGCTCTAAAAAGAGCATAATAGAAACTCTACTTATAGCCAACTATCCACAATGACCACCTTTTTGTTTCCTAAGGCGGATACAGTACATTCTTGTTTGTACCTCATATGAGGCAACGGTCACTTAGCTCGATCCCCAAAGTGGCCAGAGTAGAGAGGTTCCCTATGAATTCTCAAGATGCAACTATTTTGTGATCTTATTATTTGGGCGTGACCCAAATAGAGTGATGGAAACGGCTTGTTTTGACGCAAATGTGCAATAGGCACGCAATACGTGCTAACGTAAACAAGGCAAGTAAACAAGCGAAGCGAGGCGAACGTCTTGTACAAGGTAAGAGGCATGTGTGAAAGAAAGCTCTGCTAGCACACGGCACTTTATCGCACTTTTACCATCTCAGAAGTTAATCTGAATCTTCAGTATCTTTGCCTCATCGAAATTTGGAAGTCTGAAGTCCAGAGAAGAAATCTATCAAAGACATTTGGAATATTAACGTCGGGTTTTGGTCACAATAAGATCACAGCAACAAACCTTGAAACACAGAAACTCACAAAACGGATCGAAATCCACCAATCACAAATCATAAACAATGACCTTTTGAACCGGTTGAAGAAAACTTTCGTTTCCTAAGAGGTCCGCTAAGATGATGGGCGTCTGACATTTTTTTGACGAGAGGATCAAAATGCACCAATCATAATTGCGTGTTTCCTAAGAGGTCATCTGAATTTTTTAGGTCCATTTTCTTTCCCTTATTTTGTGATTGGTCGATTTTGTTAGGTCGAGTGGATAATCCAATGAGGGACGATTTGGATATCGTTTGATCCGAAATTTTTCGAAGCGGTAGTAGGAAGCAGTTTGGATAACATTTGGCCGCGGCGTTTCGAGAAACGTGTTAATATATTGTTCAGTCATGTTATCCCCGGTTAAACTTACAAATGCCCACACTGTTCGCGGTAGGCCCACACTAAACAATAAGACTAAGTGTTTTCGGAATGGGCTGGTCCGCGAACTCAAAGAAAAACAAAAGGAAATTATCAAGACATTCAATGACATCAAAGACTCATGGACCCCATAGACGTAATAACAAATCGGAATATCAGGAGTGTACGTGTAAAATGGATAAGAGTTTGAACAGGGGAATGTTAAGCAAGTCTGAGAGTCGCAAGATTTGTGTAGCTGGTTATCAATGTGCCAATAGTCATTTTGATTTTTGCATTGCGGAACACAACGAATTGCCTGTGATAAAAATCTGTTCCCATGAAGGAAGAGACGATTGTCAACAAAAAGGGACTGAGGCTTCTTTTGGAACTACTATGATAACTGCAACAATTCTTTTCATTATTTCAATTTTGTTTAGCAGGGTGGCGGTTAATGTACTTGTTTTTGTATTGCGTGTTGTGTTTTTTCATCTAATTGTGTATACTGTGACGCGGTACATGTACGATGCTGTGCGTCGATCGGGATTTTGCATTATCAGCACGTTTTATGTTAGAGTGTTTTGATGGCAGCGAGGTGACGACAAGAGAAGGTAATGAGCTAGTTGTACAGAAGGAAATTGTGTTAAGGAGGAAATAAAAGAAGTTGAATAGTAGGAGAATTTTCATTGATATGCTGCACCTCTATGGCACACGCGGGCAATACTAAGATATGGGCGAAAATAATTTCTACCCGAGCGCCGAATGCCGCCACTAAGCCAACAACCTTAGAAAAAATCGTCATATTCCCCCCAATCTCAGAAGCTCACCCTACGGGACCAGCTCTTGGAGACGCCAGTGCCATGTGATATGGCCAAACACGCCGCACGAGAAAACAACCTGGCGGCAGGTACAAGTGTCAAGAAGTTTATCTTCCCACAGACTTCTGCAGAGACTTAGAAATACCCTCTTGTGGCTAAGCATATTTTCTTGAAAAGAAGCAAGTTTAACATTCTTATCTAGGGGCATTAAAAACGTTGTGTAAGGAAAATCAATGATATACCACAGAAAAATCGACGTTTGCCTGGGAACAAGGGTCGACTTCCCAAAGCCAAAGAAATGGCCGAGACCGATGAGGGAGACGAGAGCGGACCGGCCCAACTGGCGGGCTCCCCTTCCAGTTACACTAGGAATGATAAGATCTGACGGAATCTCTTGCGTTTTAACAGAAGTTAAACAGTGCCTAAAAGCGAAATCATTGGAAATAGATTACCACGAAGGCAACGCACATATACCTCACGCGATAGCGTTAAACCGAAACTGGAAAAAGAAATAAAGGAGAAAAAGGGGAGCCACCAACCAGGCCGATCCAGGAACCCCGTCACAGACAGAGTATGGGGCATAATTTAGAACTACAGTACCCGCCCCAGATCGACCGGACTGATAGCAGGAGCACAAGACCGAAAGTCATGAAATAACGACACATTGCTCGAAGCGAGTAAAACAACACACAAGAAAAAACCAACCAAACCAAAGCGATGGACCGATTTGCGTGACACGAGGTATATATGTAGTCGAGATGAACCTGCATAAATAACTACAAGCCCATAAAACTAACAACAAATAGCAAACGCCGAATAAATCTGGAACGTAGAAAACAGCCCAGGCAGCTAAACCATAGAACCGCGGATGACAAATTCGAAATAACAGGATGAAAGCGGCCGTCTTCCGTTTAAGAGCCTTCCAGTGTGTACACCGCGCACTGATATTTGTAAACAAAACAGTACAGAGATGCCATGATTATGAATTCTAAATTCGAACCAGAAAAACCGATGATAAAAGCACGTGCCGTGGGTACTTAAAAATGCTAAGTGAATAAAAGACGAGAAACCAAAAGGGCCCGGGGAAATAAAGTAGAAAAAAACTACTGTTTTAACTTCTATAACACTGACGAACAAACAAAGAAATAGAGAAGAAAATTTCCGAATACTGGAACTAGTTGCGGAAAAGAAAACGTAAGCAACAACGAACGCGAATAAAAACGCGACAAACTACAGGATATGCGAAGGAGCACGCATACAGAAAAAACACGGACCGCAAAGTATAGAAAATGCGAAATACAAGACCAAAACGATCCTTAAAGGGAGGAACGACATACTGAATATTAAAAACGAAAGACACCATGAAACCAGTGAAAGCGAAACACGCCAGAAACGGCTAACCGGAAGGCCACAAACGCCATAGAAACAACCTAAAGGCGAAAAACGCCGTGAAAACAACCTGAAGGCGACACACGCCATGAAAACAACTTATAAGCGACACACGCTGAAACGGCTAACTGGAAGGCGACACACGCCGTGAAAACAACCTGAAGGCGACACACGCCGTAAAAACAACCTGAAGGCGACACACGCCATGAAAAAACAAACTTATAAGCGACACACGCTATAAACACAAAATGGAGAGCAAAATATGAAAGTCACCATGAAACTAGTGAAAGCGACTCACGCCAGAAATGGCTAACTGGAGGGCGACACACGCCAAGAAAAACCTACGTGAAGGCGACAAATGCTATAACAACTGAAAGTGACGTACTCTATGAAACAACTCGAACCGACACTCGCTATGAAATTAAATGGAGAATGATACCCGCCATGAAATCCAGTCTGAAAGCGACTCACGCTATCAAAGGTAACTCGAAGGAGGTATCACAGCCGGGCGAAAGGCTTCCAAAACATAAGGAAGGATAGCGTCAGGAGCCTAGGCCATGCTCAGCGACGAAAACCGGAATGGCACACAAAAAACGCAAGTATATATGCCCTCTCGGGGCATGAAAGCATAGAAAAGCGATCTGAAAAGTGATCCTGAGGTTGGCAAAACATTTAAATAGAACGCTCAATACCCAGGGTAATGCAAGGGTCCCAGGAGGGAAAACGTGCTAAATTATGGGGCCCCGCGTGCCCATTTCGGACCAAACATATCAATGAAAATAGAGATCTCGTCGTGGGAAATTTATTTATAACAGAACTTACAATTCCATTGGTTTAAATCAGGTTAGTCAATTATATTTTCGGCAAGACAAATTACTATAAAATCGAGATAGTATATAAAATCGAAACTCGCGTTGTTTTCAAAATTTGCATACATCGTGCGCTGCAAAGAAATAATTAGGTTACAAGCGCTTGAAATATTGTACCTTTAGAACGGCATAGCTTTTACTTGTTGTGCTATATCTTTCAAAACCATCGATGAATTCTAGCTCAAAAACTCTCAAAGCGGCAGTTTAAATCTTAAAGCCCGTGGCTGGTTGAAATCGACTCTTGTTTGTTTTCAAACGATTTAGGATGGATCGAATCGACTTTGGAACGATTATTATTTTATCAGCTCGTGGTATGAACGAAAAGTTTTTCTTCTCGATAAAGTTCACTCAACAAATTTAGAAAGATTTACTCGACTTTTCATATGTGCAATGAACTGAATTTTTTGCGGAACGAACTGGCTATTTCATGGAACGATCTGCTATTGATTGGCACAGTCTGACTTGGAACGATCTGACCATGGAACGAAATGACCGGTTACCGTCATACACCTACCAGACTACCGATGAACAAATTAAAATCTTTGTTACAGAAAACACGGAAAGTGACACTTTCTGTAAGGGAAGAGTATTCGGAAAAATACACCATTGTCGTCTGAAATTCATTGTTACGTTAAAAGTAGAAAAGGTTTACACTTAAACAGGTACAGAAGTAACTGTAACAGTGTGAGGTTTTTACTTAAGGGGCAACTCCAAAACTAGTTCGTAAACGAGGGAAGGTGTATCTCTCGTCTAAGTATCAAAGCACGGGCGATTTAGGTGGAACGAGATATCCAAATAGGCTTTTAAGTAAGAATTTGCCCCTCTGTACATGCAATTATCCATTTCATAGTGCTTACAACAATTTGAATCACCGGGTTAATTTTGGCCAATTTAAGCTTTGTACTGATAAGGAGAAGAATCCAGGACCTTCAGTTTACGTAGATGCTACAAAAACAATTAATGCTCCATACTGTCAAGGAAATGTTACAGTGTTTGGGGAAAAATGCTGGACAACAATGTGTCGCAATGAGTCTGTGTGCTTTAATTTACAGTAAGGTAACAAAGATTACTTCAGTTGCTGATATGACTCAAGTAAGTGATTGTTGGTATTCAATTATATTCTAGTCTGTCACTGCTTGCAAGACAATCTATGGTAATGTTAACAGAATTGCCAGGAATGGTTACAGTGTTTGAGCAGTTTTCCAGCTTGAATACAGTGACAGTTATACTTGTAACATCCATCACTACTGTATATGCCACTCACAGGGTACAGCATTTGAAACACTCTTGCCACTAAACTACAACTCATTCATTTTAACAGTGGCAATTATTGGTGTTGGTATTACAGCATTGAGGCTGGGGGATATAATGTATTTGATTCTCATGCTAGAGATATGTATATGTATAGTGAAGCAATGTTGAACATTGTAGTATATCAAATGTTAATAGTTACCAATGTTCCTGTAAACAGTGCTAACCTATGGCAGTTTATGCATGGTGTTACTCTCTTATTAATCCTTGTGGATACTGGACTTAAGGAACTTTATTTGCCCTTGTTAGTAACCGAATCTACACTGTACAATGTGATGGGATGTCTGTCAGTATCAGTGAAGCTGAGATAAACCTTACTCTCCGGGTTGTAACCACTTATGTACTATGTAGTAATTTGGCTCCAAGCATGTCTGCATTGAAGATGTGCATATTTTCAAAGATTGTCATAAAATGACACTATTTTTGTTGTGGATTGGGACATACTGGACATACTTTATAAGCTGTGTGGTTCAGAAAACAAGTGGAGTAAAGGATTTGTCCTCTCTGGTAAAATATGATGGCAGTTCTTTAGCTGCAGTAAGGCATGTTCAAAGTATCATACCTGTCGTACGACCACGCCCAAACATACGCTTCCAGAGCGTCTTGTTTACACTTCTAAAACGCTGGTGTACACCTTGATCATGGAGAACTCTTTTGCTTGAACCTAAAGCTTCACTTCTAGCACCTGCAGGATCACTGCTTGCCCTTGCTGAACTTTAGATTTGCCTTAAAAAAAACAACAACAACAAACAAACAAACAAACACATGTTATCATTTCTAATAAAATTATAACCAATTATTTCGGCAAAATTCATGCCCAGTTCATAGCCTGGGGCCAGGCTCTTTAGTGAGGGAAAAGGGCTATAAACTGAAAGGGGGGAGCGAGGGGAGGAAAGTTGTTTTCTTGCAATCTAATTTAATACTTCATACTTGTTGTGCCATCTTTTGACTCGAATATTCGATTTGTGTACTTTCACGTTTAAGGTCCGCGTGCGCAGGTATATTTTCCCATCAAATTTTTTATTTATTTTGTAGCCCGAATAGACTTCTTTAGCTTGTATGTTTTGTTTTCCAATAGAGGTCCCAGAGGAACTTGACCCATTGTCTCTTCATAAATTGTGCGTAGATATCCGGTTAACACGATGTAATTAGAAAGAATTAGTTCTCTAGAGTATTATCACATGACCCGTACTGGGAAAACAAAACATACAAGCTAAAGAGGTCTATTGCTCGAACTCCTTCCTTGTTTTTTTGTGAATATCTTGAAAGATAAACCCTCTTAACTCGAAAGAGGGCAGCTACACCGAGAGCATAATCATGTATACTTCGATCTACTAGCTTAGAAGTTTGAAAAATTGCAAAAAAATGGTAAAAAATCCGAATGTTGGCTGGTATCATGGTCATCGAGAAATGAAGATTCTGAAGACAAGAAATGAAGGGAAAGACTGAAAGTCCTAACTAAAGGAGCTAAAAGCTACGTACAAGACAGGAACTTGGCAAGGTAGCCTCAACAGTTAGCAAGCCAAGTCTGGAGCAGGTTTGTGATCTTAAAAATTGGACGTAAAGTTTAGCCGTGTCTATATCAGATATAAAAGACACATTAAACATTAATTTCTTTTGTTTTTTCTTTATGAATTATTAACGATTTCCTAAAGCTCTCGTAAGCGACCACCCCGTATTGTTTACAATGCAGTCGCTTACGAGAGCTCATTTCCGACCAGCTCTAGTTACGACCACTTTTTCGAATTTCCCGGGTGGTCGCGTAAGAGAGCTTTGACTGTGTGTTCCATTGTGGACTTTCACCAATTCCCCCGTAGAGCCTTTTTTGTTGTTTTCTAAATTTAACCCGCTTAAAACGGACAAATAATGACGCGGACACTGTTTATAGTCCTTAAATGCAGAACTTATCTGCAGATCTTACATGTTCCTTTATCACTGCTTTCTTGTCCAGCGGATGTTAAGGCATCTAACTTTTCTCTAATGGCTGTTATTTCATCTTTAATCTTCTCAAATCTTTCTCTGTCTGGGGGTACAAATATAAGCAAAACTTCCGTTAGTTGAGAATATACTAAGTATTGAAAAAGGTAAAGGGAGGCGTGGTTGCCTAATAGTTAGTGCTGTGAACTTTGGATCGAAAAGAGTTTCGGACTGAAGCCCTGGCGGCAGTCACTGCGTTACAACAGTGTGCCTCATTCTAACCAAGTGTATACATGGGTACCAGCTAATTTTATGCTAGGGGTAAACATGCCTTGGACTAGCATCCCATCCATGGAGTGGCAGAAAAATTCCTCGACGTGTCAAAGAATACTGGGACAAGCTCTGGCCGGATGGCCCAGTTTGGCTCGAACGCAGAGGATTTAAACTGAATAAATTGACAGTTATACTTGTAACATCCATCACTACTTTATATGCCACTCACAGGGTACAGCATTTGAAAAACTCTTGGCACTGAACTACAACTCATTCATTTTAACAGTGGCAATTATTGGTGTTGGTATTACAGCATTGAGGCTGGGGGATATAATGTATTTGATTCTCATGCTAGAGATATGTATATGTATAGTGAAGCAATGTTGAATATTGTAGTATATCAAACGTTAATAGTTACCAATGTTCCTGTAAACAGTGCTAACCTATAGCAGTTTATGCATGGTGTTACTATCTTATTAATCCTTGTGGATACTGGACTTAAGGAACTTTATTTGCCGTTGTTAGTAACCGGATCTACACTGTACAATGTGATGGGTGTGAAAACACATCTGTCAGTATCAGTGAAGCTGAGATAAACCTTACTCTCCGGGTTGTAGCCACTTACGTCCTATGTTGCAATTTGGCTCCAAGCATGTTTGCATTGAAGATGTGCATATTTTCAAAGATTGTCATAAAATGACACTATTTTTGTTGTGGATTGGGACATACTGTATAAGCTGTGTGGTTCAGAAAACAAGTGGAGTAAAGGATTTGTCCTCTCTGGTAAGATATGATGGCAGTTCTTTAGCTGCAGAAAGGCATGTTCAAAGTATCATACCTGTCGTACGACCACGCCCAAACATACGCTTCCAGAGCGTCTTGTTTACACTTCTAAAACGCTGGTGTACACCTTGATCATGGAGAACTCTTTTGCTTGAACCTAAAGCTTCACTTCTAGCACCTGCAGGATCACTGCTTGCCCCTTGCTGAACTTTAGATTTGCCTTAAAAAAACAACAACAACAAACAAACAAACAAACACATGTTATCATTTCTAATAAAATTATAACCAATTATTTCGGCAAAATTCATGCCCAGTTCATAGCCTGGGGCCAGGCTCTTTAGTGAGGGAAAAGGGCTATAAACTGAAAGGGGGGAGCGAGGGGAGGAAAGTTGTTTTCTTGCAATCTAATTTAATACTTCATACTTGTTGTGCCATCTTTTGACTCGAATATTCGATTTGTGTACTTTCACGTTTAAGGTCCGCGTGCGCAGGTATATTTTCCCATCAAATTTTTTATTTATTTTGTAGCCCGAATAGACTTCTTTAGCTTGTATGTTTTGTTTTCCAATAGAGGTCCTAGAGGAACTTGACCCATTGTCTCTTCATAAATTGTGCGTAGATATCCGGTGAACACGATGTAATTAGAAAGAATTAGTTCTCTAGAGTATTATCACATGACCCGTATTGGGAAAACCAAAACATACAAGCTAAAGAAGTCTATTGCTCGAACTCCTTCCCTGTTTTTTTGTGAATATCTTGAAAGATAAACCCTCTTAACTCGAAAGAGGGCAGCTACACCGAGAGCATAATCATGTATACTTCGATCTACTAGCTTAGAAGTTTGAAAAATTGCAAAAAAATGGAAAAAATCCGAATGTTGGGTGGTAACATGGTGATCGAGAAATGAACATTTTGAAGACAAGAAATGAAGGCAAAGACCGAAAGTCCCAAATAAAGCAGCTAAAAGCTACGTACAAGACAGGAACTTGGCAAGGTAGCCTCAACAGTTAGCAAGCCAAGTCTGGAGCAGGTTTGTGATCTTAAAAATTGGACGTAAAGTTTAGCCGTGTCTATATCAGATATAAAAGACACATTAAACATTAATTCCTTTTGTTTTTTCTTTATGAATTATTAACGATTTCCTAAAGCTCTCGTAAGCGACCACCCCGTATTGTTTACTATGCGGTCGCTTACGAGAGCTCATTTCCGACCAGCTCTAGTTACGACCACTTTTTCGAATTTCCCGGGTGGTCGCGTAAGAGAGCTTTGACTGTGTGTTCCATTGTGGACTTTCACCAATTCCCCCGTAGAGCCCTTTTTGGTGTTTTCTAAATTTAACCCGCTTCAAACGGACAAATAATGACGCGGACACTGTTTATAGTCCTTAAATGCAGAACTTATCTGCAGATCTTACATGTTCCTTTATCACTGCTTTCTTGTCCGGCGGATGTCAAGGCATCTAACTTTTCTCTAATGGCTGTTATTTCATCTTTAATCTTCTCAAATTTTTCTCTGTCTGGGGATACAAATATAAGCAAAACTTCCGTTAGTTGAGAATATACTAAGTATTGAAAAAGGTAAAGGGCGGCGTGGTTGCCTAATGGTTAGTGCTGTGAACTTTGGATCGCAAAGAGTTTCGGACTGAAGCCCTGGCGGCAGTCACTGCGTTACCACAGTGTGCCTCATTCCAACCAAGTGTATACATGGGTACCAGCTAATTTTATGCTAGGGGTAAACATGCCTTGGACTAGCATCCCATCCATGGAGTGGCAGAAAAATTCCTCGCCGTGTCAAAGAATACCGGGACAAGCTCTGGCCGGATGGCCCAGTTTGGCTCGAACGCAGAGGATTTAAACTCAAGGACCTGTTGTTACTGAAATCTCACGATTGTGGGGATTTTCCTAGCAAACCGCAAAGCCTGTCATTCTCCTCAAATTTGTTTGTCAAAAGACGTAAATTCCTTCAACATCTTCATTGCTTGAAACACTAGAATACTAATACTGCCCACATGCAAATTGCCTTCATTTGTTGAAGTTTCCAATTTCTTGCCCATGCTTTCTAGTTCGCTTTGATCTCTTCGAGGTCTTCTCTGATTTTTTTCCGGGGAAGACATTCATTGTAAGTTGAATAGTACAAATATGACTAGACTGCAAAAAAGTCGTTTTGTTTTCTTAAAATCGGTATAGCGTAGCGTGCGCGCGAGCCTTTTTCAAACTCACTCCAGGGGCCTGTTTCTCGAAGGTCCGGGTAACCTTTCGGGCCCGAAATCAAATATTTAAATAGAAATATAAAGAATAAGAGCGCGGGTCCTGGCTAGCAAACTACTCCATTTTGTTCCAGTAACTGATAATTTTGTCACGTTAGATGCAAAACTATTGAAACCTCTATCTTGTATGTAAACAACAGCAGCTTTACGGGCCCGTTAATTATCGGGTCTTTCCAGAAACGGGCCCCAGACCTTTTGTTTGCGCGTACTTGAATACGCAAAAATACGGACTCCCAGAGACAATAGGCAAAGTCCAGCCTCTTGACGTTTAGCCTGTTCACAGACCCTCTATTTTCTCTTTACACATCATCAAGCGCGCTTATGCAGTTCTTTCGACAAAATGGCCGGAGGGCAAGCTTGGCAAGAAATCTCTCCGGCATCGGTGAAAGGATGCCAATACTGATCACTATTCGCTCGTTTGACAAATGTGGTATTGCTGTCCCAACGACTGGGGAACGGTATAATGAAATTAACATTAGTATCAATTGGTCACTCCCGTGACAATGAGGACCTAATATGGTTCTATGACGAAAGCGACAAAGAATGATAAATGCAAACTTACAAAAGAAAAATGAACGCTAGATACTTTATGGCAACTTCGTTTGAAAAATCTTTTATCAGTTCAATTGAAATGTTACGTTCTTGTTCAAAATATAACAAGAAAAGCTTGTTCGATATTAGGCACTGATGGATGGTAAGGTAAATGAATGCATATTGCTTCATAAAGGGCAAGAAAAGAGGAAGGTCTGAAAAGTGGAACTCTACGGTATCAACAGACGAGAGCTTCCCAAGAATGTTGGGAACAAGGGAACATGTCCATTCACTTTTAAGGCTCAATGGATAAGAAAAGCATTGATTTCCTGCTTTGGAAGGATGTTCGATCAATATGTTTTTTTCCATCAGGCCCTTATTGGACAACACTTCAGCTATTTCTCCTGTCTCTCACTCAGTTAATTGCAATGTTGTGACTTGGTTGCTACAGGACTGAGGCCTTGAGTCAATTTTCCTCTTCATAAATAAAATGGACACCTGTTTGTTACGTGACAAAAACTAAAATAAAAGGGAAAGGAAAGTGTACGGCGCGTGAGAAAAAAAAAATCAACAGTTTGGAATATACCAGGCAGAAAACAGTGACAGGTCAGCTGATCTACATAGGCTGAAAGCAGCTTGATATAAAATTGTTTTGCAAATTGCGAAGGCTGGAATGTGACACAGCTTCTGTAAGGTAGAAACAAGGTGGCTTCTTGTCCTTTTTATCAGGAAGTTTAGAACATAACTTTTTCTTGGTTTGCTTCCTCTTTCGGATCTGCTGCCAAACGTTCTAGCTTGTCACTGATTTTTTTCTCACTTTCGAGGATCTGATCATTCATGTTCTTTAGCTGTTCTGTTTATTATCAAAAAAATGCACATAATGCACCCAAAATTTTGCATAAGCTTGGACTTCAATTTGTGTGCAACGACTGTAACACCCCGGAGAAATTGGGAAAAAATGGTTACAAAAATAAAGCAGAGCGCAAACAAAGTGTATTATTGGCAATACAAAAGTTGCGTATAAGCCCTGTAGATACATGCAATATAGGAGGACATGTAAAAGTATCTTTACTGCTCATCAGGCAAGTTGTGACAATAACACCTCAAAGGTTCGAGAGTTTCTTGTCATAAGTGTGATAACGGGTGTACGGTCATTTGATGTTCGTTAAGTAGAGAAGAAGGAGAGAAGGGCAGTTACTCGGGAAATGCTTAAATCCATGTGAATAAAAATAAGATTGAAAACGAAAGAATAGGGAAAATCTGACTCGTTGGCTTGGGGATAAGTATATATTTATATAAAAAGCAAACAGTATTAATTGCACGTCAACGTAAGTTCTTGAATCAGGCTTGCATTATGATGCAAGGTAAATTTTGTGGTTCAATTTTATCCTTGTTCAAAATTTTGTTTTCAACAAAAATATTTTTTTGTTTTAATTGAAATTTTTGTGTACGGTCATGCACGATACTGAGCACAAACAACAAAATAAAAATTGATCACACAAAATGAGAACATGTTATTTGATTGAGGAGGTCGTAACTCGTATTTTGTAGGTGAGGAGTTAAGAGGGCTACCCTACAGATTTTAATTTCCCACCCAACAGACTGAGTCATCTTATAAAAGGTGTCTTAATTTTACCAGGGAATTGATTATGAAACCCTTTTAATGGCCAACATACCTTCAAGTTTGTCTCGTGAGTTATCACTGTCTTTCTTCAGTTCCTTTAACAATCCTTAAATCATGAAAAAATAGGTACAATAAGATAGTGAAGAAAACACAGTTCAAGTTGCTAAATACCAAATGTTTGTTTTGTTTAAACACCTTAACTCTGCACACTGTTATGGGGGTCTACACTTAAAACAAATCGGATTTGATCTCAAAACGTTGAAAGTGATTTTGGTTAGTAGTAAGGTTTTTCTTGTGTGGTTATTTCTGTCTTGGGGAATTGAACTTGACACAAAGTCTTAGACTTATAAACAAGGTCTCAGCATCTTTGACTTTATTACTGTATTTGCAACCCCTTCCTGATATAATCAGTTGAACATGTTGGGAAAAGAGACTACATTACTTGCAAAGGCAAAAAAGGTTTAAGACGTTTGTAGTGTTTTGCAGATTTATATCCCTTTTTTGGATTTGTCTAATTTTTCAGGGCACCAATCTAAACAGCCACTTTTAATAGCAAAAACTATAAACTTTAAACTGTAAATAAACCTTTAAAGGGGTACCATTTTAATAATAATTTTATAGTCAAATGATATAAAATTTTGTTCAGCTGATAAAACTTCGTGTCAAGCCGTGTCTACAATTAAAAAAGTTGATGATAAGGAGATGATGGCAGACGTTGCAAGTGTCATCTTATTACTATAGCAGTCTCAGAAGAAAGACTCAAAACTCAACAAAATGAAAAGTCAGGGAGGGCCTCAGGGGAAATATGGGATTGAATGATTTAAACAATGGACTGCTGATAAGGATGAAAATTTTACATAAAAAATACTAATAACCATGAAATTTTACATAATGTGGTCCTTACATAATTTGCAACTAATTACACGAAAAAAGTCAAAACTTTGAAAAAGTAACTATTGTCGACAGAAAAATTATTTATTCTAAAAAACGAAGAAAAAAAACCGTCAACCAGTCAAAATTTTATTTTAAAATTAAATACCATAAGTTTTTAACCAAGAGAACACCAAACCAATCCATTTCAAGATACGACTGTTACCGACAAAGAGTTGGCGAAAACAGTCACAAACAATTCTTCCCAGTTTGTAATTTCATTAAACTTATCAATGCCCATTATGTCACGTTGCAGTTAGATTTGACGACACTCTCCTCTAGCAATTTTCCCCTCTTGTACGACTATTAACTGTGGAACTTTCTTTCATTTGGAAAGAAGGTTGGGATAAGAGCATAAACTGTGTACTTCAGTTGCACAACGTATTTGCACAACTACATCTGAACAGCCTATGTAATTTGCCTGCTTTTGTTTAAATAACACTTTTCAATCAACACGTTTTACAAAAGGGAAATGCGTTAATTAGCAATCGTATTGAAATGGAATACCCTGGGAAGGTTTTTGAAGCTGTTTAAAACACTCACAGTACATGTTTTATCACTGGTTAAAAATTTTTGCGCTTCGTGCTCAATTTTAACTAATGATAAAACAATTCTGTTCTTATTTTGAACATTACTTAAACTGATTCCTGTAACCAAAAACTCTGTATCACTTGTCAGTCAGGACAATCTCAAAGTGCATCTTCTGCAGCTGTGGCTGACCTCTTTGTTGAATGAGTTACTCTTAAACATATGAATGTGCATATTAGCACATGTTTTTACCATACTTACATGTATAATAATAATTAGTTATTCTTTAGTTTATCTGTATTCATTATTTTTTTGTTGTAAATAATAAATTATTACTATTTATCATTGTCTGCATTATAAATTACGTATGAAGATCCTCAATAGTGGGAACACAATAAAGTCTATAGTACTGTATTGAATTGAATATAGTACTATATGGTTATTTCTTTTATCCACAATAAATATGTGTGGTGCATTTTCAAGTTACCTTCAATCTCATCAAGTCTGTCTTTGCTGCTATCATCATCTTTCTTCCACTCCCTCAGTAATTCTTGGTAGTGTTTCTCAGTGACAGGATCCATACTCTCAGTCTTCAGCTTATTGATAGCAGTGGCATCTGCACCCAGTCCTACCAATGCATTACTGATATCCTGCCAATAGCAATTAAATGTGGCATCATCCACAGATGCCTGGCTGGCATGTCCATAGACATGGTTTCTGTAATACTTCACCCTAGCTATGTGGGCTTCAGCACTTGTATCTGCAGCAGGTGGGAGATTATCCCAACCAGTGGTTGGAGGAATCAAGCCACATATATTCCTTAAGAGCAACATCAGCAGTGTGACATCAAAATCTTTTGAAGATATGGATGAAGGTGAAGGGGGATACAGCTTGGCCCATTGAGTGGGATTGAGAATTCTCTTCCTTTTAAGTGTCTGCAATACTGGGTGTGCAGGAGGCTTTGTCAGAACTGCATGTAGGCCTGCGGGTGGGTGAATACTATCAAACTTGTTCCTTAATGCCTGGGATCCTACATCCACAAGAAGACGACACAGACGAGCATAATTTGTTGTCTCCTTGGTTGATGGATATGAAGGTATAGCCGCAGAGGCCATGTGGAATAAATTCTGCTAGCTGTAAATTATGAAAAATAAAATTTTAAAAAAATTACAATAGAAAAATGGGCAACCATAATTTTATAGGCACAAAGAATGTAGCACATATGCAGCATTTATTAAAGTACATTGAGTGATCAACCTAAAGGAATTAATTACACAGGGTACAAAGCTAAACAAGGACTCCACTGCATGGTGGATGCATAAGTGTAGCAGCTGAAGCCATGTTGAATAAATTTTGTTAGCTGAAGACTATTTAAGGTACTTCCCTTGTTTTGCACTGCGCATCACCTAGTGCGCATAACATTGCCACTTCAAAGGTGCAATGATTTTCACTGGTCGCCTAAAAAGGGGTAACTAATTGGCCTCTTTTGTAGTCCAAATGCTTTTAATAGCAATTTTGATAATTCTACCTGGCTAAAAAAGTGTTTGTCTTGAAACTCGCCCCAGTCTTCTTGCACAAAATGATCATCTAAAGTGGGAATTATCCCTTTTTTGTCGTTTTGCTATGAAACCAGAATGGTATGGTACGAGATAATCTTAAAATTGCAGTCCATTTCTCTACAGGTAATTTGAGGTCTCTTTTAAAACTGAAAAAATATAGCCCAGACAAACAAATGTGCTTAAGGTTTAGTAGGATTCAATAGTGCTTGCTATAAAATAAGAATTCTTGAAGGTTTTTTAAGTTTCAAACACTTTCCACACAAATAGGAAAAAATAATCAGAATTACAGGCACACTAGTCAGGGCAAAAACAAGCACTGTGACCCTATCTTTTTATTGCAGATTTTGCTTGCTTATTTCGAGCGAACTCGAACTCCATTAACTAGCTTCATCCATTCCTTCCGGTTTTCCATAATGTTCTTCAGTTCAGCTATGCTCAAACCAGTATCATTTTGCAGCTGGTCTACGTATGTTAATGCTGGTCTTCCTCTCTTTCTTGCGCCGTGCTTTGGTTCCCAGAGTAGTAAATCACTTATCACCTCATCCTTTTTTCTCCAACAGTGTCCTATAAACCGCAGCCTCCTGATCATCAGTGTATCTGTAATCTTAGGAAGGTTGCCGTACAGTTCTTTGTTGGTTTTATGCTCCTTCCAGGAAACTCCAAGAACTGCTCTGAGCATTCTTGTGTACGTACCATCTAGTCTATTCATCATCTTTCCAGTCATCGTCCAGCATTCAGCACCATAAAGCAGTACACTTTCAACTGTGGCCCGAAAGAAACCTATTTTGAGATGATTTTTTAGGTTTGATTTCCACACTTTCATCATTTTGTTGAGTGCACTCCAAGCTTGTCCAATTCTTATATTCATGTCCTTTTCACTGGATTGTATCCACGAACCAAGGTATTTGAAGTTATCTACTTGCTTCAATTTGTTCCCTGCCAGTGTGACAAGATCACCTACAGGTTGATTGTACAGCATGTATTCCGTTTTCTTGTAGTTAACATGCAGACCCACTGTTTTCGCAGCAACCTCCAGTCTTAATAAGAGAAGTTGTGCCTCTTCAAGATAGTCAGAAATTAGGGCAAGATCATCCGCGAAATCAGTGTTGGTGATGTATGTTGCTGCATGACGGGAGCTCTGCCGTGGTGTAAGAGTGAACCCAGTGTGTGTTTCTCTAGTAGCTTCTCTAAGGGCATAATCCAAGGCTATGATAAATAGGAAAGGTGCGAGTGTGTCTCCTTGCAGAACTCCCGCAAGAATTTCGAAGAATTCCGTATCACCATCAGGAGTTATCACCTGTGCTTCGGTGTCCTTGTAGAGTATGCTGATGGCATCCACTATCTTTGTTGGAATTCCATATGCCTTCAAGATCTCCATCATCCCACGATGTATCGAATCAAAGGCTTTACTGAAGTCTACGAAAGTCAATATTGCAGGAAGCTGTTTTTCTTTTATTCCTTCTATGAGCCTACGCAGAGTTAAAATTTGCGGTAGTGTAGATCTACCCGTACGAATGGCATGACATGACATTTGTGCCAAGTTTGAAAAAATCTGGAAAGTATAAACATTTTTAAGGGAATAACCTTAGTACGTAAAATGAAATCGCGACAAGAGACGACCTCCCTCGGCCAAATTGCAACAGTGACGGCAAAGCCGACAATAAGCAACAAGCATTTATAAACACCAACACGAGACGTTTTAAAATTCAGACGGGCGACATGGGTTCTGCCCCCCCCACCTCTGGCAGGGCCTCTTAAATAGCCACAAGGAATTGTAGTACAGCTAACCTCAAGGATAAAAATTCCCACTAATTTTCTTTCACTCAGAATATTACTACAATGCATACACACGTTTAGAGCACTTAGAAAACGACATTAAGTCATGCACCCAAAGTTAAACAGGGTACAAAGCTAAGGATTCCATAGCTTAGCATTTTTTAACCAGTGCAAAAAGTGCCTCAGGGGGCCTGGGCTCCAGTCTACAGTCATAAACTGTCTCTAAAGCAGAAACTGTTGCAAAACTGTATTTAAAAAAAAATGCAGACTATATGAACCGTAGTGTTTCTCAATTTCATATATTTGATTGGTTTAAAAATGTAAATTGAATTCTCGTCTAACTCCTCTTTTTATCAAATTAAAGTTTCATTTTTGGTGTGCTTGAGAGGCATGGTCGTCTTCCCTCACTGTCCAGTTGATAGGCTGATCTTTACATGACTTGATCACGTGATCAACTTTTGGTAAACACGAAAACAGTTCACTTTTGAAAACTTTTGTTAGCACAAGCTGAAAGAGCATTAAAAATAGGTAACCTAAGAAATTTCCGCCATATATCTCAAAAGTAGCAATTGCAACAGCTGCCGAAAGTTAGAAGCCTTTTATGAGAAAAACAACTTTTGCTATCCAGCCATGCTTGTTGCATGGTTTTCCATATAAATCCTTAAATTTCGAAATTTTCCAAACTGTCATGAAATATTTCCTTACAACAACAACAACAACAGTTTATTTCTACTACTGTAGACAACTAAAAGACTTATTAAGCATTACAGGGCTCAAATCTCTTTTTAATTCATAACAGACAATTTGAGCACTTAAATGCATAAGAAAAGGATTACACTACAGTTAAAAAATTTAAGAGTTTACAAGGATTTGTATGGAAAACCATGCAAGCGTGACTGGGTGCAAAGGTTGTTTTTCTCATACAAATGTTTCTAACTTTCATCGGCCGTTACAATCGCTACTTTTGAGATATACAGCTGAAAATTCTCAGGTAACCTAATTTTAATATGCTCTTTCAGTTTGTGCTAACAAAATTTTTCAAAAGCGAAATGTTTTCATGTTTACAGAAAGTTCATCACGTGATCAAGTCAAGCAAAGAGCCTATTGTGCTTTCCTTCCCCACAAACATTAAAGGGATAAAAGACTGGGTAAGGAGACAAAGAATGTTTGTGTGGGAGGCTGGGAGCTACAAATAACTGTTTTAGAGAGTTCCCAATAGGTTTTGTGGGATCCAGGATTAAATTTCTCTTATTTGAGGCTCAGGATTCGGGATTTTAAAGCAAAATAGGGGCGAGATTCGGGATGAAAGTCTGCACAAAAGGTGGGATCCAAAACACACAGTCTGTAAACCTTGAGATCACAGGACTGCATGAAATTTTGGGTCAGGATTACGGGATTGAAAGAATGGGGACTCTTGTTTTATGCAGGTCAACAATCCATTTCTCTAATCTTTTCCTTTCTAAAGCTATGTATTTAAAAAAACAGTCCATAGTCCACTTTTATACTTAAGTCCATGTTTTATACCCAGTCTTCAGTCTGTGGTCCGCAGTCCACAGTCCATGTTTTATACTGAAAAAGATATTGTTTGCTATGCGTATAAAATAGTAAAGTATAATAAAAGGTATTCTGTGACTGCATGTGACTCCCTGCTTTAATTTTCTGCTGAATATTGTGTTAAAAATAAGCAACGTTGAAATAGAAATATGTCTCTCTCCTTCAGTGTCTTCAGCTTGAAGCACTGATTTCATACCATCATCAATTATTCTAGAAGTGATCTTTCAAAACCCTTATCATTATCTTTTTAGGCTTACCTTCAACACATGAAGTATGTTAGGTCACAGATAAGCTTGGGTTATAAGCAATTTATTCCTGAAACATGAACACAACTACATTAATAATGAGCTAAACAAAATTCACAGCTCCTGGCATTTTTACACCATTATGATGCTTAGGGTCCCGGTCTACCAGTGAATGTCAGGCTAGGGATAACATTGATCTTCTTGCATTTATAATTGTGGAAATCATGCTAAACAAAAAAATTAATAGCCTAGTGATTATGATCTGTATACAAAACAACATGACCAGGAGGAATGGGCAATTCAGAAAATATCCATACCCAACCACGGATGGCTTCCATGTTTTAACCCCCTTGCCTTCGGAAATTCCAAAATGCGCTACCCCCATGCCCTCAGAATTCCATAGTCGTGAACCCCCTCTCCTTCAGAATTTCCGGTTTTTTTTGAAGTACATTTTCGACTTAGCAACGCCTATAAGAACAAACGAACATGAATTTATGCCTCCTCAAGGCTGTGATCTAGCGGCGCCAGGTGACAAGCTTTACTCTTCAGTGACAAGAAAAACCTACGCTAGTTGCCAGGCCGTGCAAACTCCTTTTTAAGTCCGAATTTGGCTATAAAAATAAACACCACTTAAGGTAATTTTACTCCTCTTTGTTTTCTTGTGCTGTTTTGACGTTTACAAAGGAAAATAGCTCAAACAGACTGTTAAAATCTTTTGGCGGTCAAATATACCGTCGAGTTGTGTTGCGTCCTTTTATACGTCATGTAGTGCGCACGAAAAGCATTCTAATCTGACAGGCGTTCCTTGGAAGTGAGGGACTGGTGCGAGTTTTTTACTGTTTATCGGACGGTTTCGGACAGGAGTAACAAGAAATTTGCAAGGGGTATTAAAAGATACATTTTCAGTTTTTATTCACGTGACAAGAAATTCATCAAGGTAAATGTGAAACCAACGTTTTACTGTTCACTTCTATAAGTTATGAGCGTAAACACGTGTCTGATCTATCGATGCTTGTCTTCTGCTTCCGCGGGCATACGTTCGTGGTTTATTTACGAACTACAAAAGTCCACAACAATAGCGTTTTCCAGGAACTTACTCTACACTTTCTACTCCAGAAATCCCACCTGTGGAATTCCCCCATACCTTCGGATTTCAATTCGTAAATACCCCCCCATGCCTTCAGAATTCCATAATCGTGAATCCCCCCTCGCCTTCGGAAATCCTTAAAGCCGTCCGTGGTATGGTATGGATATTTTCTGGAATCGCCCAATATGAGAAAAGGTTAACTTGGATCTTTCTCTTACAACTGCATGTAAACTGGGCAGGATTTCAGAATACTAATGCTGGGGTTTGTACCAAAGTGCATTCCTTTCAGGCCCACACCACGCCACCCCCTCCCCCCCCCCACTCCCCTTACAGAAACAAGAAGGCACTACTAAAACAGCTGAGACGAGTTTTGATAGACAGGGAATTAAAGAAATAACAAAAAGAACATATCTACAGTCAACTTAATAATAATAATGTCCTCTAAAATACATTTCACTGTGAAAATCCGCCTCTTTGTAGCGGCGTTATAGCGGTTCCAAGTGGCCCAAAATCCCATACAGTCACTGTAATTTTAGCGGTGTTTGCACCCCAGCCAAGGTGGCGTCATAAACCGTGAAAAGGTCTATTTGCTAACAGATATTTGTTGCTTCTAATCCTTTTTTTTGTCGAATAAAAATCGAACTCAAATCACTTGACTGCCATATCCATTTTTATCTATTGGCTACTCTGGGGTGTAACTACACCCAGAACTACACCGACGTTATTTTGAAAGGGCGGCCAGGTCTTAATCGTGACTGGACGCCTACCCACCTATTTTAAACCCGGTTGTAAAGAAAAGATCAGATTTTTTTAAAAATTTTTTTTTAAAAAAGTGATGATTGTTTGATCCTTCGACTCTCAGTTGCAACTGAATTGTCAACAAGTTTACTGTTCACATGAAACCAGTTTTCATTTTTGGATGAACAGATGAAAAGATATCATTAGACTCCGATATGGATCGATGAAATCGGTAAAAATCAAGATAAACGAAACGAGTGTGTCATCGATTTCTACCGATTGATCGATACAATCAATATCAATCAAATCAGTTTTTCCGATTTTTATCGATTCATCGATTGATAAATCGATACCGATTTTTATCGATTGACTACTCCGGGATGTGTACATGTGCCATGCCATCTCATTCATGTCCTATGATGTAAGCGACTGGGAAAGGTTTCCAATTTCACAGGAAGCAATGCTGTACTTTTACCCCGAGAACGAATTTTCGTGTTTTGACTCCTCTCGCGTATAAAATTTTGCTTTAAGCCTCGGAGAAAGTTAAATGGAAGTCAAGAAACGTTGTTGAGTTTGTTTCTTTGACTGGATGTAAGCAGTAACAAATACCTTTTTAAATTTTCTCTCTCTTGCTGTTTTTTTACTAGACTGATGGAACTTTTTCTCTCTCTCCAGTACCCCTCCCGCCCCTGTTTTTCCTTATAACGCCTCTACAAAGAGGCGGATTTCCAACATTTGCCACTACTTTAAATAGTTTTATTGATATCATTCATTCAAAAAAAAATAAATCTATTAAAGAAAGTACGACATCCGAAAAATTCGAATTATAAATCTTCTCATGTGGCTTCTATTTCATGGTAATTTGCATACTGTTGATTAGAAGGGTTTGTATGAAATCTTAAAAATTCGTTTACGGTCGATTAATTCATCGCCTTCAGTCGCATTGTAATTGCGGTATGGATTTTGTCCCTCTGCTTTAAAAAAGAATTGAACTGAATAACCTAACCTTTATACTTCATGAAAATAATCTCAGTAAAAATGTCTTCTAAAGTACTTTTTCACTGAGGAAATCCGCCTCTTTGAAGCGGCATTATAGAGGTTCCAAGTGGACCAAAATCCCATACATTCACTGTAATCTTAGCGGTGTTTGCCCCCCAGCCAAGATGGCGTCATAAACCGTGAAAAGGTCTATTTGCCAACAGACATTAACTGTTTCTTCTAATCCTTTTTTTGTCGGATAAAAATAGAACTCTAACACCAACTTCGCTAGAAATCGATAGTCACATGAAATTTCATGATCGACTTTTATCGATTTCAGATACCTGTCGATTGATTTCTACTCGACATTTATCGACAACGATCGATTTTAATGGGCTTTCGAAATTATCGACATGTAACACCCTTTATGGAATGTCCTTATGATAGTCCTCTTTTTTGAAATATTAAATTTGCATAGTAAAATTCCTTGTTGTTTAGTGTCTGCAGGGCAAAATAAATCACCGGAGTCATCTTAGTATATCTAACATATTTTCCAACAAGACAACATCGTCAGGATTTCTTACCTTTTGCACAACAGCTGCGGTAGCAAGCTCAGCTCGTCAGCTTCCAAGAGTTCCAGGCGACAAAGTCACGCGATGTCTTGGTATTTTGATTCACTTGAATTTCTTCTCGGAATACAAAATGAACTATTGTAATCACCAGCCAAAGAGAGGTTTCAGCCTCACAGATCGAAATGGCCATCAAGGCGTTCACTGAACTGAAGGTATTTCTGATCACGAGAGTCATCACGAGATCAAGTCACTTCCTTGTGAGAAAAAATGTTAGTTTGTACCCAGACTTTACTCGTCTTTGTAGGACCGTGGCAAGGTGGGCAAAAGGTTGGTCGCCGGCAGGCTTTTTTTTGGTGTGTTTTTCGCTCGTGTTTTGTAAAAAGATGCAGGAATAATGCAGCTGCGCGAACAGCTGGACCGAGGTTAAACAAGAAAACGGTTGGGGAGGTGCCGAGAAGCTTCTTTCTCGCGGCCCCTTCCACGAGTTTTTTTTTCGTTTCACCTCGGTTTATCGTTTGGCGCTGACTAGACGCGCGCGGTCTACGGCGGGGCCGTATCTGTCGCGGAATGAGTGGTTTATAGTGGCAAGCTCTATATGGTCCCAGTTGCTCAAAAGGTGGATTGCTATCCACCGGGAAAATCACTGTCAGGAGCCGATTCACCACCTGTCACTGTCCAGTGGATAACTAGCCTGATTCTCAGACATCCGATTTCGTTCGCGGTCCCTTCCGCTTACCGCGAACGACCTCGGACGTCTGAGAATCAGGCTAGTGGATAACGCAATTGGATAGCGATTTATTTGACTGTGTCACTTGTTTTTACGGTTTTTCGTCTAGTATTTTGGCCACCCATGTATCCTCTCTTGATTTAGGTCATGTTTACAGTTGTTTTTTTTTTACCCCTTCTGGGAAGGTAGTGGGCAGTGGAGACGATATTCTTTTGGGTCCTGTCCCCACTATCTGAATGCACGAATCAGGCCAGGGGGCCCAAATAGGGGTCTTCACGATCAAAATTTCCCATCAGTCTCGTAATACCATCAGTTAGAAGCAAGCAATTCTGTCAAATATAAAGTCATGTGAGAATTCCAGATATTTGTGTGTAATGTGAAGTTCACGAGATTCGAGTTGCGTGCATTTCTGGACATAAGCGCAACAAGGTCATTTTTTTTTTCCATATAATGGCTCCTTAATATAACATTTCCGAAATCCACTTCTTAGAATCGTTAATTTCGAATCTTGTTATGATCCTAAATTATTGCTTTGAAAAAAATCCAAATTCTGGATCTAGAAAAACCAGCTGGGCAACCTCAAACAATACAAGTACCTATGGGAAGATAAACAGCTAGCGAACTTACAGAATTTAAAAACCTCAGAATAATTTTTTCACTCTGAAGTGTTTAGTACCTGTCATTTTATTCAGTGTGCATTAATATGGCTTCGGATAAACACAACAAAACCATTTTCCACGGGTGAATAATATATTATTTAAATAATTTTTATGTTTCTTCGAATCCATAATTTACCGTTTGCTTGTTTCATGTTAAATTCTAGGAAAACGCGTCGTAGCAACTACAGATAACGTTATATCTTTCACTGCTTTTCAGGGTCCGCAACCTTTTACTGAGTCAACTTAATTTAACGTGGTTAATCATTTGACTCTCTCTCTCTCTCTCTCTCTCTCTCTCTCTCTCTCTCTCTCTCTCTCTCTCTCTGTCCACCATACAGGCTTCAGCAGGGTGTCGCCAATGCAATTCCTTTCCCTCTTATCTCTAGCCTGTAACACAGTGTCCAGGCGGGGATCCACACCGGTTTCAACCGTTTTACGGAAATCGGTCAGATTTTCCACAATAAATATTAGCAAAGACTTTTAACTTTCCAACTGAAATCTGGAAAATAGTTTGGAAAGTCAGATTATATCTTTTCTGAACGAAGGGAGATTCTGAAGAGTTAAAATCCAAAAAAACTTCCCGGGGGTAGCATACCGCCAGACCTCCCTAAGAGTATGAAATTGGCCAGTAAATGATATATTGAAGATCCACGCCTGGTGTCCTCTTACGGAGGAGAGAAATTGATCTTGATTTATCAAAGCGATCAAATTGCTTAATGAGCCGAGACTACGAAAAGTTAAGACGGGGGATATAGCGATATTTTACAAACATTAAAACACACAGCCCTTCCGTCTACAGTGTAGGTGCCACAAGGCGAACAGCTCCACGTGTAACTTCCCATCCAATCAAAGCAACGTTCTTAAGTCACGTGGGGTCTGTGCAAGCAATTGGTTCTTCACAAAACATTTCATCGAGCAAAGCAAAGCAAGGATTACAAACTCTGACATTCTGATTGTAGCCAAACGCTGGAATCCTGAAAAAGAAGACATGTCCTCGTTGTTAATTTGTACACTAAAAGATGATGCTAAGAGATGAGCGCCTCTCTTACTCTCTTCACTGGAAACGAGCTGGTTACCCTGTAGTGTAACAAAGGTTTTCCCACTTGGGAAGGAATACATGATGTCTCTCTTCTTCAGTTTTGTGTGATTCCCCTCAGTGACTCAATTACGAAAGACCGCCGCAGAATTTGTGGTCCTATGAGCTGGGAAGTTTAAAAACTTAAAGCTCACGATGAAACTTCAACGGCTTGCTATTTCTTAACTTTTAAGATTGCCTCTGTCAGTTTCTGTTACTCAGCAAGAGAGGATATCCTCTCTTGTGATGAGCTGGCTACGAGACAAAACACTGTGACACCTACAACTGATAATACAGTAAACCATGTTGAACTTACGGAGCTGACTGATCTGTGCAGTTATGACAGAAAACGCGGCCGCAGCATCGACAATGATGGCGTCTTCTAGTCTGCAACAAACACCAAATGCATCTGTGTTCAGCCAATAGAACCCAAACAAATCAAAAGAACAAACACACGTTTTCTAATTTCCAAATCCTGAGAGGTTTGATGTCCATAGAATAACACTGATTGTGCATACACTTACCTATGTTTGGAAACGAAATTTGCTCTGTGGACTTCTGGTGTCCGTTTTCGGTCGAAAATTTGGTTTATCAATTGAGTTGACATAAGGTAGATATCGTAAAATATGAGCTTCTACGGCACAATTTGGGTATAATGTCTATGAAAATGTTACAAAAGATTTGAAATCATGGAGTAAAGGCAACCTCCATTCCAGGGCCCCCTCCCATTTCCTAAAAAGAAGGGCCCTGGGAACAACGTTTGCGTGAAAGTAGCCTTGTATTCAATGAAACAAGACAAAACTTACTTGAGTGAATGGCGCTCGACATTTGCTGTTTGAACAGTAGTTAACAAGCTGCGAAAAAAAATACATTACCTGCATTAAAAAGCGGTTAAGACTAACCAATCAACGGGCGTGTGATAGCAATCGTGTCAACAATACGGGGATTGAAAAGATATGGGAACTTTGATGTATCGGCACAATATGAAAATATAAGGTTTGAAATATATTTACGTTTTATTTGAATTCAAACAACCATAATTTTTTACTTCTCACGGAGGTTATTTCCTAATAATAATAATAATAATAATAATAATAATAATGATTTTATTACTTATAACGCGCAAATTCGCATATGTATATGATCAATGCGCGTTACAGAAATACATTACCTGCATTAAAAAGTGGTTAAGACTAACCAATCAACGGGCGTGTGATAGCAATCGTGTCAACAATACGGGGATTGAAAAGATATGGGAACTTTGATGTATCGGCACAATATGAAAATATAAGGTTTGAAATATATTTACGTTTTATTTGAATTTAAACAAACATAATTTTTTACTTCTCACGGAGGTTATTTGCTAATAATAATAATAATGATGATGATTTTATTACTTATAACGCGCAAATTCGCATATGTATATGATCAATGCGCGTTACAGAAATAGGCTGATTTAAATAAAAAAAAGTCTTAACTAAGGATTTAAAATTGGTCAAACTCTTTTCGTGTGTTATGTGACGAGGAAGGGCAAAAACCAGGTCCCTGGTGTCGGATTTTCACAAGCAGGTCTAGATCGCGCAATTGTCGTTCGCCTTTTATCGATTTGAAAGTTTTTTGTTTATTGCTTCATAGTGATATCGGTTTTACTTAATGCTACATTTTGACAAACTTCAATCCAAAGACAGTCAGTGGTGAACATTTTATAGCGATCGGACAAAGATAAAATCACTTTTTAGGCGATGGAAAAATATCGGTATGGTTTCCGAAAAACTGTATCGAAACACCTTAAGTAAACAGTTTATTGTATTTGTCCTCTATAAGCCCTAGCATCTCAGTAAAGTCCTTAGGTCTATTCTTACCTCATCTGGTACCCACGATAATCTGAAAGTGTTTTGTAAATGTAGTACCTCGGCTCGGTCCCTCTCAGCTTGATTAAGCCGTGTGTTTGCCTGGAAAAAGAGACCATTTGCTGCACAGTGTACAAGTAACAGACGAAAAATACAGACGTACTGAAAGACCTGAAATCTAGCCTGAAAACTAACCTCGTGAATAGCTGCTTCCGTTTCCTGACGAATTTTGGCCATTTTGTTGACAAATGTAGCTTCACACTGCATCAAACCACAAATAAGAATTTTTTTAATATCAGCAGAGGCGTTCCAATCTCACGTTACGAATTTGTTCTGTAAATCAACTTTCTCACAAAAGAGTAAAAAAAACCCGACTAAATCGATGAATTCACACCAAAAAGCACAGGAATACATCAAAGGTAAGTCTACTTTATTTATTTTATAGAAAAAAAGTAAAAATAATGATATTTAGCGTTCGCAGACCTCAGTATTTTATTTCTCATACGAAGTCTCAACGGTTGCTTGTAACGCGACACTGACTCTCTTGTGAGAAAGTTAATTTACATAACACAGTCGTAACGTGAGCTTGGGACGCCTGTGATATTAGTGAACAACAGGACAGCGGAAGAAAGAACACGGCAAAACCTTTTGTTACAACTATGTTCAAAAAGATTATCCGCCCGGCCAAACTTCATCTTCCTTTAAACAGATCTTTTTGGAAACGCACAGAACACCGTAAAGTTAAGTGAATGATCACGACAAAACCCTCACGTAATAACCCGATCACGTTTGTCATACAAATGTTTTTGCTGACCTCTTCTTTCTGCCCTGTTGTTGAAGGGAGACTTCAGCCTTGAAGCGCGCGGACCATAGTTTGTACTCGACAAGCGCTGAACTTTACTTCATAAATGCATTGTACACTGTACCTACAACTCCGCTAGATAATTTTGATATTCTAGAAGCCGTGAAACCAGCCTCGGTCCCAGAGCGCTTTTCTCGCCCTTCCCACATTTGAAGGAAAAAGCGCTTTGAGGACGCGAGGCACCTCCTCAGAGAAATCAATCTACACATGCAGGAATCAGGTGTCTGGCCTTTCTCACGCTAGCTATGGAGCAGAGAGCAAATACGTCATTTTCTGCTTATTTAGCACACCGAGCGTATTGGAAAAAACTGTCACTGACATATGTATGGTGGCCGAGCACTGCCAATCGAAAAATCCTCACATTGAAGGAATATGAGTTTAAGACCTTGTTTAACTTACATCTGCATCGCTCCTTTAAGAAGGTGATCTTCCTTCCACGATGAAAACCTGTTATCCGCCATCTTCGAGCTTCTTCCAGAGAAAGGGTCGTAAACAGAACACAAAATCTACGTGATGTACACAATGCATGCTGGTAGTGGCAGCGCTCGGCTGGGTCGAAAATTTTACTTGATTTTAATTTCATTTCAAGTCTCAAGTCTCAAGTCTCAAATCTTTATTTTAACACGGTACAAATTCATCAGGTTTTTTTGTTACAAATAAAGTATAACTACATAAAATCATTTTTCAAATCATTTTACTTTGGTTTCATTTCGCTTTATTTTGATTTCACTTGATTTTACTTTCACTTTTCTTTTGAATTGAAATAGAAATTAGAAAGAAAGTGGAAAATGGTTACAGATGAAAATAAAAAATAATTCCTTCAATATGCGAATTTTTCGACTGGCAGTTCTCGGCCACCATAGATATGAAATGACAGAAAAAAAAAAGATTTTCAGGTACATGTAAAGTATTGTACGATGATAGACAGTGAAATGGAGTCTGTAGCAATGAAAATCTGTCAGTAAGTTACCCGTTTAATGGCGATATCTTTCTGTTCTCTTGCAATATCTATCTCCTGCTGCAATCTCATAACCTCTTTGTCATGCGTCTAGATAAAGAAAGTGAAAACAAGAGAGAGAATGAAAGTGAATACTTTCCTAGGGCCAGCAGCTCTATCAGAATGTCTTATAACGCGTTTAGGTAGGTACTTCATATATGTACACTATAGGAATCATATATGAAGTATCTACCAGTGTTGGTAGGATCTACCCGCGTTTAAACGAAAACCGCTGACTGGTCAGATCAACTGCTTGGGTACCAGTCTTCGGAGCAGTCGACCGGATTACCACTCAGGGTCTTGACTAAATACCTGAGAAGACCGTCTTTTTTTTTTTGTTTTTAAGATAAGGACGAAAAACCGTAGCCGCCACCCCTTCTTAAAACACTTCACTGATAGGACTAGTACATGTGCAAATAGAAGAATCGATAGGGGAGTAAAGATCTCTGGCCGTAACCACCCCTAGCGCTAGTTGTTAGATTAGGTAGGTTCAGTACAGTACCGTCTTCATTTGGTAGGTCTGTGCCACTTTCTTTTTCTATTTTTATTTGGTACGTCTGTGTCCCGTTCGTTAATCGTTACTATTTTTATTTGGTAGGTCTGTGCCCTGTTTGTTACTTTTTTCATTTGGTAGGTCTGTGCCTTGTTCGTTACTATTTTCATTTGGCAGGTCTGTGCCCTCCATTGGGTAGGCTTGTGTTCCATTCGTTACATCTCGATTTGGTAGATCCATGCCCAATAACGCTAAAACAATGCTTTACCTCAAAAGACTGCGAACAGTCTCCCTTGGAATTGGAACTGAATACTATCAGAACATCTGATACTACTACCAATACGGCGTTAAACCAGCAAAATAATTTTTGCCGCTTTAACTTACCTCTGCTGCACTAGCGATAGACTGCATGAGTCTTTTGCAACGCTGTTCAAGGTCCTCTTTCTCAGCTTGACACTTCATCAGCTTTTCCTGAATAATAGGAGGAAAATATAAAGATCTTGGGTACCTTTTATACGGGAAACCGGAAATTCCAGTTGGAAATTAAATGGTTCGCGTCAATTCGTCAGGGAAGCTTCAGAAAATATAAGCTGTATAACAAAATACAAATTCACTTTTCTCGTCCCAAATGTTTATTATAGGAGTGCTGTTAAAATATCGTGAGAATTTATCCTCGTCCCTCATTGCATCAGAGTTTCCATGTGATTATCTCGACCACCCGAACACATTTTGGGAAGCCTTAGACGATGATTATGGAAACCAAGCTAAACCAGACAACAAGTAAAAGAGGTTTGTCCAGTAAATACTCTTTATTTACTTACAGATTTATGAAAGTAGGGTTAAATACTGAGGCTCGGCGGACTGAAAATAGTTTAGACCGCAGTCTTGTTACGCAAAGCCTTCTTTGAAGATGTCTGAGACTTTCCGGGTTAAGTCAGTTGCCGTAAATGTGGTTGCGTCTTGATTACGCGGATCAGTGAATTAAAATGATCAAGTACCTCGAGTTTTGAAGGGTTTGCCACCACACACGGTAATAAATCCGGTCTGATGATAGGTTCCACATCAGCTGTAGAAATGTTAGATGATGGAGTGCCGCTACTTGAACCAAAGAAACGATTAACTACAATAAAAGGGATGGAAAATCAGTACCAGATAAATTGATGTCTTTCAATATCATTGAGCTCAAATTTATAAGAATACCCGCCTTCCCAAGGGGCTGGTGATCACCGGCGAACGCTACAGAGAGAATTATTTTGATAATAGTAACAAAGGAGAAAGTAGATGGCTAATGTGCGCGCCTGTCCCTGCAGTGCTTGATAAACTTTTACTAGCCTATCCGCAATTATAACTGTGGATAAGGCAGACACCTCTCTGAAGCGGTCGGCCAAACTTGGTTTGGATAGCATTTGGCTTAAAGCTGTGTCACTACAGTAGAAATTGGCCCCTAACTGAGCGAGGAGAATAACCATTTCAAGCGTTGAAGCAAGGTTTGAATATCACAGCAAATATAAAAGAAGACAAGGATGGGCAACATCGAAACACCCCATCTAAGAGAATACGGATTCCGGAATCATCCAAACATATGTTTGCTTGTGGAATCCGGAATCAGGGAAATTTCGGAATTTAGGCTTTGAAATGTGGAATACAGCTCGAGGAATCCGGAACCCCACTAACAGTTGGAATCTGCAATCAGAAATTTACTGAGAAAGAATCCGGTATCCACGGCGTAGAATCCAAAATCCAAGACTCTCTTGTATTCCATTGCTTGAGGACCGCATTTGCATGGATTTTTTGAAACGTTTCATCTTAACAGTTTTTCAAAGTCTCTCTCCGTTTGTTTGTCACGTTTGGGAGACACATTTGTTTATCACATGCTGCGATTTTGTCATTTACAAGTTATATGATTTTCTTCCTTGTACCGAAAGCCAAGTATCTCTAAGAAGAAGAGCTTTTGGAAAAATGTTCGACTTAAGAAAGTTCAGTGCCATTACCAGTAAGAAGGTTACCATATAGTGCCTACAGCTCTAAGCTTCTCACCTGGAGTTTCGGACCGAAGCTCCTCACACGAGTTACGCTTTCGAAGACTCTGAAAACAAAGACAACAAAATATGTGACCATAATTTCAACAAATTTCTACAGTATTTAAGGATCCAAACACCACAAGTAAAATTAATACAGTTTCTCCCTTTTAACGAGTTGTTTAATCAACTGACATCAAATTCTCCATAAACTCATGGGGTGGGGGTAGGGGTGGGGGTAGGGGTGGGGGTAGGGGTGGGGTTGAAGGAGATGTAAACACGGGAAAAAGAATTGTGTAATTGAACTTTGCCTTACATTGAAATGCTAAGACTCAAATTAAACACTCCAGGAGAATGACAAAGAAGCTATAGTCATGCTTGTTTTGATCTGTTTTGAGTTGCTACAGTGTTTCGCCTTAATCGGAAATAAAGTTTCCCACTTCAGTATTATTTTATGCGTCTTGGTATTTTCGTGTAGGTTAAAAATTTGCAAGGAATATTTAACTCACCCAGTCAAGGGACTTTGTTTTGTCTTCTCTTCTTAAAAGTTCTGGTGTCTTCAACAATTTATGTCTTTCTTGCGGATTATCTGAGTTTTATAATAACAAAAACTATATGAAAAAATCATCCAATTCACAACAAACACAACAGGGATCAATGCCAAGTCACATTTCTAACAACATTTTGCAGAATACTGTTTATTTTAGCATGCTTAATTTTCAAACACCGTCGTAAGTGGGTAGATTCATCAATTTTGGAGACCTTATACCTAAGGCCTACGCTTCCAGAGAGGCCGTGAGAACCAGATTGCACCTTGGGTGCCCAGTGTGCTGCTTTCCACGCTCACCTCTGTTTAACGCATGATCACTGTTCACACGCACCCGCGAGATTTTCGAGCCTGATGAGTATGCCATTTTCTTTTGCAGTTGTATGTAAGATGTCCTATCCGCGCGTAGCACTTTTCCGTGCTGGGTTATGCACGTGACAAAATGAATACTTTATCCTTCTTAAGACAAACCTTTTGACTTCCATTTCGGGCTATTTGGTGGTACGTTTTCATTAATGTGTCTCAAAATCGTAGCCACATACAGCTTTAACATTGGGTCTTTTGTTGAGAACCCTGCACAGAAAAACATATATTATACAAGTGACTGATAACTACAGCATAATCCTCATATCCGAGTTAACCAGAAAAAAAGCTTAAAAAATCTTTCCATGCCATTAAATTTGTAAATAAGATGGAAGATCAGTTAGATTACCTGTTGGGGTTTGTAGCCTCTCTTGTAAGTTCTGTACTGCAACATCAACTGCAAGATTATTTTTTATACAGATTTAACACTTAAAAAGATTTTATGGCACTTGTACGTCACAGCCTAGTAGTAGTTTGAATTCATGTACAATGGGAAGAAAGTCCCAGACATCCTCAAGTGTATAAAGTTATTTGCCACTTTCAAAAAGAAAAGGGAACCGGAGCCGATATAGCGATTTTCGTATGACCTTGAAAAATGGTTTCGGTGTGTTCGTTATTTGTTTTATAAGGCAATGGATGAAAAGATCAAAACACGGACTCTTCGTTTTCCCGCCAAAGAAAACTTTTTAGAATATGGAGAACGCATTGTTCGATTGGCCAATAGTGTTGCAGTATGACGTCAAAGCGAAGTTCGATTGATTTCTAGAAAGTTCTTCGGGCAAGAAGTCTTTTTCAGCCGAGTGTTCGCTTAACCAACCAAAACCCACAAGCGTTTGTATTCGTTCGACAAACTAATCAAATCCCTCTATTTCTGCTTGTTTGTTGTTTCTGAGACTGTTTCGTTCGCGCGTTTTTATTTCAAGGTCATACGAAAATGGCTCTATACGTCTCGCAACTGTTCCTGGCCGGGATTGTTACTGGGGACGCGCCGGTTCTTTCGATATTGGCCAATTTTTTTCATGTCCCTAGTAACAGTCCCAGAAGTCTTAGCAACTTAACCTCGTTTTAAATTAAGTAAGAGTCTTTGGAAGTCAAAGCCTATTTGTAAAAAGGATCTGTAATGTTATCAACTTAATCAAAAAGCTTACACAGAGAAATCTTGCACAACAAGTATTATGGTGGGTTTGTTTTACCTTCCACAGCTCTCAATAGTTGAACCAGCTCCTGTCTACCACCGGAACGGGATGCAAGGTCTGCTGCTGTCTCTAATGTGTCAGTCAAGGCAAACACTGGAACACCCATCTTAACAGGGAAAGTAAAGTGGGAGGGAAGGGGAGGGGAGGGGAGGGAGGCAAATCATTAGCGCACATACTTGGTTAGGTCAAAATGAATCAGTTTGCCCCATCCTGTCAAAAAAGGATTTATCAGTATACATGTACTACTAAGTAGTAATAACTATAAAAGTTTTATGGAGTGCATGCAGCATTTCAGCTTCCATTTTCTGGAAGGTGTTCGCGCCAAGTTTACGGTACGGTGACTTCTCTAAAGGAATGTGGTTCGGTTCTCAACAGCTGTTTCTGGGGAGGAGCATTGCGTGAAGACAGAAAGAACGGCTGTGAAGCTGACTGTGCCTTTGGCAAATTGGTGATAATGTCACTTGTCCCTGAGAAATCTGTGGGGATGCCAAATACACATTCCAAGATCCATTCAACCACCAACGGTCGTCCAATACAATATCATCACCTGACTCGTCTCCAGTCATCTCTCACTATCTCTCTCTAGTGGCGTGTGGGGTGTGATGGGAAGGAGGAAAGTGAGGCAGAGAGATGACCATCTTTCTCTCTTCACCCTTCCCATCATCCCCTGCTCCCGCCGTGCGTTACGAGCGAAGACTACTGGGAACAAGTCCGTATCATCACTCAGATCTATTTCTTTTGGGCACAATATTTACCAGTAGACCTTATTTGCATCTTGGTTAATGTTAAATCATGAGACAAGCTGTTAGGGAATATTTCCTTTGTAAATTGCTCATATTAATGATCACATTCATCCATTGTCTCCAGAAACACAAAGTAGCAAACCTCCATACGGTATAACATGATTTGTAAGAAGCGGATACCATTTCAGCAAGTAAAGGTCTTCCCTGTACATTGTACTGTAGTATTATAATTTACGGTGAGTTAACTGTGTCTAGGCAAAACGTCAAAGTGAGAAAACAGGCAATCAAACGCAGATTTCTTCTAAGTGCTTTGAAAACATCTTTTAGGCTATCTACAGTGCTTTTAAAGCTGTACAAATGCATTTTAAGTGACAACACAAAATTTTGATCTGTTTGGTTGTAAATTGAGGCAACTTTTAGTTAACCTTTTTGAATTTATTTAAGGCTTTCTAATCGCATTATTATTACTTTCCAGAACAATATTATATTCTCACTTTCCAGAAAATCTTATCTTCCGTTTTGTCAGTAGTACCTGTATGAGAAGTTCACCACACTCCACATGACTTTCACTTGATCCTTTCCTACAGGTCAAATTAATCACTTAATATCAGCAATACATGGCTGCTTAATCAAAAATTAGAATCTAGACAGCATTTTTGCCTCATTGACGTGGAATATTCAATATTCTATTCTGACACAAAATGAAATTATCATGGAGGCATACTGATGCAAAAAAGGTTACCTAATATACAAGTACTTCCAAAACAGCAGTCAATATTAAAAATGAAAAAGGTGTGATTATTAGCCTGAAATAAGTGCACAAAATGACTGTGATTTCAGACTATGTGTTTATGAGTAGTTTTTTGTGTCAGGCCTTCCATGCGGTACAGAAAGAGACTGCATGGAGTGTACATTTCTATGTTCTGCATAGTTGTTGCTTTGCCGATCAACACACGCTTCGTTTCGTTAATTTGTGCTTTTTCTTTATTCATTATGAAGCAACCACAAAAGCTAAGTTCATTTATTTATGCAAAAGAGAATGACAGTTGAACCTGAAAAGCATGAAGTAAGATAGTGAAGCTCATGATAGTTGTTCAAAGTTTCAATATCATAGTTTGACCCAGACCATTTTTGAAATTGATCCAATTTAAAATACCACATGGGACTTATGACCCACTTTTACCAATTTCTAGACTGAACAGTCTGCTTAATAATACACACCACAAACCTTCATTTAATAGGATTTCATAAAAAATTTGTATAACATGTTTTTAAACCATGCTCATGTAAACTTACCATGCAAGGGCATGAAGAGGGGTCCAACATTTCTAGATTGGATAACAAAAGAAATATTAATAATAAGTAGTAGTCTTGATATTCATTTATTCATTTCTAGTATGCAACATTCCATAAACTTACATTGTTCACTGCTGTCACATCTACATTTCGTTCCTGTTGAATTTTAAATAAAATAAATAAATAAGAAGGGATTTAATTACGTAGCTAGTTTACAGTCCTGATATACATTGGTTAACCCTGAAAACTGTTGTGTGCAGAGAAACATTATGACGTGCGTATTTCGAGAGGCAGAATGACATGCCACACTTTCTGTTTAGAGATACGAGGATCAGGAATCAGCAGAGGGTTAAATCCCCTTTAATTAATTATCATAATCATCGCCATCACTATTATATCAATATCATTTTATATGGATATTAGCCTCTAAGTCAAAGAATCCTGTAGTTTGGATTTAACTTACAACACAGACCAGTACCAAAAAATGCCAGACTTTGTAGCAAAATGTGCTAAATCCAAGAAAGAAGAAAGCACAAAAAATATTCACTTGCAAGATTTTAAGTTGGGTTCAAAAAGCTTCCAATCATGACACTCTGACATGGCTTTACAATTGAAGAGGTGCATGTAACAAGGCCCTACAAGGTGTCTGCTAATCTGCTAATCACCCTTTAATTTTCAAACATAATAATACAGTACAAATTGATTAATTATTATATATACAAACAGGGTTTTCATTAAGAATTTAGTAGCAGGAGAAAGGTGTAATGTTACAGGAGAGTATTGTGAAAGACACTCCACATCTGAATAAAAAAGTCATATGGGCTATCAAACATTAGCCAGAGAATTCTGCGTAGTAAACAGAGAATTCTCTGATCTCGTTTGCCTAATGAACACACTGTAGAATAATGACCGTAACAATCAAGCTTACTGACACTGGGCCAAAATTCTAATGGAAAGTTTACAAAATTTCTCAAGGTTGTTAAATTACTTAAGGGACAAATTGAGACCAAAATTAGTTACCATTAAGAGAGCCACACAAGGGAGATGGCCACCTTCTGCAGCAAAAAAGAGAGGAGTGTTCTTGTCCTCATCTAACAAAAAGAAATAACAAAATAATATTTACTGTGATTTCATTCAAATATAGGATGAAACATTCTTATGGGAAAGAAATAAAAAAAATTACTTTGCCTGTGAATCTTTATTTACCAGTATGGAAGAAATAATTCAAACTGGATTTGTTCTTATTTAAAAATAAATAATTATTATTACCTCTAATATTGATGTCAACATTCTCATGATTCAGTAAAGTAACCATGGAATAATGGTCTCCTGGAAATACAGCAACTCATTTTTACTGATATTAAATAAATCAAAATTAATATACTCTGACTAACTAATTATTTTCTAAATGATTAAAATGCATTACAGTGGTACTACATGCATTCAGAGTCATAAATTAGTCATAAATTAATCACATCCTGTTAAAAAGTTACCATTATAAAAGAATAGCAAAAACACATCTGTAGGCACTAGAAAACATGCAGAAACCCTAGATCACAGATTATTGTACACCTCAGCACTGTGAGAAAGACTTGAAGTACATGTACAAGGGGCTTTACTGTTGAAGTACACATGTATGACTTGCTAGTTTTTGACTTGGTTAGTTTTCGGCAGTGTTTTGATATTAGATTAGTGATAAGCATATTATTACCTGTTTTAGCAGCTTCGAACAAAGCCCTTTTCCTTTGTTCAGGATTTAAACTAGACAAACTTGACACCACAACGAATGCATCAGATGTTGCAGATGATGTTGAATTTGCTAAAGATGAAAGAAAATGTCTTTATAATAAAGACCTTTTCATTTCCATGTACTGTTGTGATGTAGTTTAAAATGAAATTTACTGTAGTAGTTTCATCCTAGTTTGATTATCAGTTTCCTCTTTCTCCTAACTGATTTCTGATGGACAGTTACCAGTTTGGCAACACAAGGAGACAGTGTAACACTTCAGAAAACAAGTTTGCCATCCAACATAATTTTCCTGTTGATACAAATTTATGGGGTGTTACGAAAACTAAGACCCTTGAAAACTAAGACCTAAGACCTAAGACCCGTCTTAGTTTTCGAGATTACGAAACCTAAGACCCCCTAAGATCGAATCCGTTGAAATACAAAGTCAAATTGTAACCGAAATAGGTCTGATCTGTCAAATTATATCATGTTCGATCCTTTTCACCGAGTTTTAGGTCAAATTTAATGGTAAATTTAGGGATCTTAGTTTTCGTAATTTCGAAAACTAAGACCCCTCTTAGTTTTCGTAATTACGAAAACTAAATATTATCAATATTGTGGCTTTAAGAAGAGGATGAAAGCTATAGACTACCTATGTATAATTGTACACTGAAAATATGCCTTACCCCTATAATTTTGGTTGTTTATCCTTGAAGTCATAAAATTGGTTTTCCACTGGAGATGGATTTTTGTCTTTGTTGCGGGCTGACATGTCGCTGCGACCTGAATGCCTAATCGCTAAGTGGTCAACGGCATTATCGGTTAAACATCACACAAAAATACGGATTTTTTTTTCCTTTTCTGGCCAGGTCATAGATAGAAAAGTGCTTTTATAAAAAGGGCGAAAAATGGAGAATATGCTACATTACATTTTTGTAGCATTTGTTTTTATCGTTGCCACCCCGGAGATCACTGACCGGGTTACAATGCAAAGGTAGTTGAGGGGTAGGGGTGGGGGGTAAGGAGAAATAGTCTGTGAGGGATAATCGCTAAAATCACTCATGAAATAATAAAAAAAAAACGAATGAGTGAATGAAATTCCTGTACTAGCAAAGCATCGTCTCGAGAATTGGAGTTCTAATTTCAGAACAATAAAATAAACACGACAACCGCTTGACACAGACCCCCTCAGGTGATAGTTACAGGTAACGCAATCTCGATCGCAGAGACACGAAGAAAAACATCCATCTCCAGTGGAAAGCCAATTTCATGATTTAAAGGGTAAACAACAAAATTAAAGACCAATAGGGGAAAGACATATTTTCAGTGTACAATAGATAAGTAGGAAGTCTATGGCTTTGGTCCTCTTTTTAAAGCGAGTCTTCAAATTGTTAGCGGATCGTACACACACGCGTATGATAGTAGTTTTTGTTTGTCTTACGGATTATAGTCTTCACACGGCCGTAATTCGACTTTGTAGAAATTTTAGAGATTGTTTTGGTGGGGGTCTTAGTTTTCGTAATTACGAAAACTAAGAGGGGTCTTAGTTTTCGAAATTACGAAAACTAAGACCCCTAAATTTACCGTTAAATTTGACCTAAAACTCGGTGGAAAGGATTGAACATGATATAATTTGACAGATCAGACCTATTTCGGTTACAATTTGACTTTATATTTCGACGGATTCGATTTTAGGGGGTCTTAGTTTTCGTAACCTCGAAAACTAAGACGGGTCTTAGGTCTTAGTTTTCGTAACACCCAAATTAATTTTATGTGATCATCATCACTATCATCATCATCATCATCATTATCATCATCAACAAGTCTCTCAGTGCCAGAATTAGGAAAACAAGGACCTGGGGGCATCTTTATACTCTGGTATTTATTAATTTTATATTTATTTCATTTAGCTATTTGTCAGACTGCTTGATTTTTTAAAGTAATCAACAATATCATATATTAATATCTCTGATGGGTAAATTTAACACACCTCTTCCTGTTCTAGCTTCTTCTATAGCTGACAGAGCCTTCTGGGTGTTCATTTCATCTTCTTTTTGTTTTAAGAGACACCTTGTACATACCTAGCAGAATGATAAAGGACTACTGACAGTAGATCAATGCTCAGTCAGTTGACCACTTTTTCAATGGTCCTCTAAAATGTGGGCAAGCAAATTTTTTGACACAATTATTGACAAAATGATTTTTTGTGAAACAGACAAATTGCAATAGAAATTCTGTAATAGTAAGTATGCCTCAGTTCCTGTGAGTGCACTTAAAACTGGAGCCATAATGATGCAGTTGCATGAATCTTACCACAAGACACTACAGCGATCAATATGTTCAGTATAAAGACGTTGAACTTTTGTCTCTTAACATTTGTATGTCAACACCAGATGTTTCGTGATTGAGTCTGTTAAGTTTAATGGAGTAATGGCCAACAGTTACAAAGATCGTTTGCCAAAAGAAGAAAATTTAACTCCCTTTCTTACATTCCACTCAACATTACTGATAAAACTCATTCATTATTTTTGTAAAACATAACATAATTTTGAAATGGATGTAATAGCAGAATTTAACTATTTACTTATTATTTGACAAAATAGATTTTTAACAGTGACGTACCTTTACAGCTTTGTTAACAACAAAATGACAGGTAACACACACTGCAGTGGAACATGTACGACAATGAGAACTAACAAACAAAAGAATGTGGAATTATTATCATGACAAGAGGTAAGAAAGTGGTGCATCATTCTACTCAAATTCTAAATCTAAAGAGGTGTTTAAGCACCTTACTCTTTCATAAGGGGGAGAAAAGAAGGGGGAGAATAATAATCATCATTTATATTATGCAAATTAACATAGAAATATGATTAAATTCACATTAATTAGACATTAGAATTAAGGGAGTATATACGTATTAAGACTTTACCTGTCCTTTACTATATCTTGCTTCTATAGCACGACAAAGCAACTAGGAATATTTCTAATCCCCCCTGTCAAAAGGTTTGCTAGTCCATAATGTTACATTTGCTGGTACTGGTTCATACACCTGGATAGAGTGCCAGTTGCATCGAGAGTAAAGTGTCTTGCCCAAGAAATTATGAATAAAGCAAGGCCAAGGACCCTAGCTAGCTACAGCTAGAACCCAGATTTTTTTATCTGGACTCCAGAGCACCGACAATAAGGTCATTATGCCTCCAAGATTTCAGAGTACTATGTGTACACTGTACATAATGAAAATGGAATCCATACACTAAACACTAAATGTAACAAGGGTAGCTCTAGTGTTAACTTTTTTTATTTACAATAATATATATTAAATTGAGTAAACATTATAAGATGCTTACCGTCCTTTGATCAAGTTAGTTCCCCAATACTTCTGAAATATTGTTCCACACTTGGAACAATTCTGCCAAATAAAAAGTAACAATTTATCCTGAGTTCTACAAATGCAAGCAATTCATGGGTACAGTTTAACTTACGCTATAGTTAACTCTCCTTCTTCTTGAGGAACAGTTCATGCATCAGTGCATTCACTATTATTTTTTGTAATACAGTGCAATGGTCACCTTTTTCAAATACCATCATGTCAAAACAGTCACGTAAGTATGTGCTAACTATCAAAATACCCTCTTCAAATAAGCCACACTTGTATAATTAAATAGCCAGCAGTATATCAGTCCTATCCATTTGAGTGTTGTCTCACATTATCAGGGTGGAGTACCTGTAAACTAGCTTGAGCAGCTTAGTGCCTTTTTATTATAAAACAAAGCATTTACCTTTTTTAACTATTAAACCTTGGATTATGAAGTTAGCAATCACAAACCTTGCAATCGCAGGACTTGTATGATTTTTTACAGTCACTACACCTTCTTGTAAGGCCTGCACTGTCACTTCCTTTTGAGTTCAAAGAAGAAAAACTGATTTTATTCAAATGAATGATCAAATTATAGAGAAAGAACACTTGCTGTAGCACACTTTAACACTCATATAATTATTTTAAGGCCAAAATTTTGAAGTCTTTTATACAAAAACTAAAATCCACATTTGACAGATGCCTGTCTTTTTATTTATACTAAGGAACTTTTAGCCTGAGAAAACAGCTAACATTTAGCAATGCTACCACTGCATTCTCCGCCAAATGACGTCTGAGAAACGAGTGCAGAAATTCCATACTGATGATGCATCACTACCCAGATCTGGTTAGTTCTTCTGATTTGTCGTGCCGCTTGGGAAATTTGATTCAACCAATCAGAAGCACTACCCAGATCAGGGTAGTGACGCGTGATCAGTATGAAATTTCTGTGCTCATTTCTCAGACATCATTTGGCAGGGAAACCAGTGGTAGCATTGCCAAATGTCACCTGTTTTCTCAGGCTAAGGAACTTTATACCAAACAGAATTGATAAGCTCTTTAATATGATCAGTATATCATTATCATGCAATGCATGCAGAGACAACAAAAGCATTTCTAGGTCTACTAACAATGTAACAGTATGTTTGAAAATTAAACTCATTGTCTGTAGTTAATTATCTTTCATTTGGACTACCCTTTTATTTATAGAACATCAAGAAGTTTCGTGGACGCAATCGCACGCAATATTACAAGTCGAAACTTAAATTAGAAAACAACACACAGTCACACAGCTGTCAAATATAAGTTCACATGAGACTGCAGCAGTATACAGGGTGTGAATGAAACGTTAAAACAAAAACTTACCTTCATTCGAGCTTGAACTATGGGAACCTTCCATTTCTTATAAAATTATTTCTTTCTAATCATTTCACAATCGAAAACAAATTTCGCAAAGTTACAAGTGTTTCAGTTCGTATTTTGTTCCGGTTATTCTTTCATGTTACGTTTACGCCAAATAGACCTAGTGTTTCATATAACAGTAATAGAATGTCCATTCTCCTGTATACCCATGTATACCCTGTATACCCATGTATACCTTGTATACCTTGTATACCTTGTATACTCTGTATACCCTGTATACCCATGTATACCCATGCACTCCCAGTATACCCTGTATACCCTGTATACACCGTATACCTTGTATACCTTGTATACCCTGTATACCCTGTATACCCATGTATACCCTGTATACCCATGTATACCTTGTATACCTTGTATACCCTGTATACCCTGTATACCCATGTATACCCTGTATACCCATGTATACCTTGTATACCTTGTATACCCTGTATACCCTGTATACCCTGTATACACCGTATACCTTGTATACCTTGTATACCCTGTATACCCTGTATACCCATGTATACCCATGTACTCCCAGTATACCCTGTATACCCTGTATACCCATGTATACCCTGTATACCCATGTATACCCTGTATACCCATGTATACCCTGTATACCCATGTATACCCTGTATACCCATGTATACCCATGTACTCCCAGTATACCCTGTATACCCTGTATACCCATGTATACCCTGTATACCCATGTATACCTTGTATACCTTGTATACCCTGTATACCCATGTACTCCAGTATACCCTGTATACCCTGTATACCTTGTATACACTGTATACCCTGTATACCCATGTATACCCTGTATAACCATGTATACCTTGTATACCCTGTATACCCATGTATACCCATGTACTCCCAGTATACCCTGTATACCCTGTATACCCATGTATACCCTGTATACCCATGTATACCCATGTACTCCAGTATACCCTGTATACCCTGTATACCCTGTATACCTTGTATACCCTGTATACCCTGTATACCCATGTATACCCTGTATACCCATGTATACCTTGTATACCCATGTATGCCCATGTACTCCCAGTATACCCTGTATACCCTGTATACCCATGTATACCCTGTATACCCATGTATACCTTGTATACCTTGTATACCCTGTATACCCATGTATACCCATGCACTCCCAGTATACCCTGTATACCCTGTATACCTTGTATACCCTGTATACCCTGTATACCCATGTATACCCATGTACTCCCAGTATACCCTGTATACCCTGTATACCCATGTACTCCCAGTATACCCTGTATACCCGTATACCCTGTATACCTATGTATACCTTGTATACCTTGTATACCCATGTACTCCCAGTATTCCCTGTATACCCTGTATACCCTGTATACCCATGTATACCCTGTATACCCATGTATACCTTGTATACGTTGTATACCCTGTATACCCTGTATACCCATGTATACCCTTGTACTCCCAGTATACCCTGTATACCTTGTATACCCATGTATACCCATGTACTCCAGTATACCCTGTATACCCTGTATACCTTGTATACCCTGTATAACCTGTATACCCATGTATACCTTGTATACCTTGTATACCCTGTATACCCTGTATACCCATGTATACCCATGTACTCCCAGTATACCCTGTATACCCTGTATACCCATGTATACCTTGTATACCCTGTATACCCCTGGATACCCATGTATACCCTCTACACCCTGTACTCCATGTATACCCATACATACCCTGTATACCCAGGTACTCTCTGTGTACCCTGTATAGTCATGTGCACACTGTATACCCTGTATAGCATTGTATACTATCAGTTAGTTATATCTAGTTATTAAATACAAGGTTTACAATTCTTTTGACATATTTTTAGTATTTGACCGTCAGGGGAAAGGAAATAATCAATATCAAGAGGTATATTTTTAGCTATCTGTAAGAAAGCTCCATGTTTTAGTGTCCCCCGCTTTTTTCTCTATAATAACAACAACAACAACAAATGCTTTATTTGCATGACCATAAAGGAATTACAGTATTGCAAAAGCCATTAGTCTAAATTTAAGAACTAATTCCACTAATTAGTTCGTGCAAAACATTACAAATAGATAATAGATCTTGAATTAATCAGGGGTAGAAAATTTGCCAAACTAGGCGATATTTCATCCATTTTGGCTTGCCAAATATGAAACTGTACTAACAGGGGACAGTAGTTTAGTTGACACGAGTATTCTGTAGAATGAGGCTCAAGCCCAGTGCAGTAATGTTCAATAAGTCGTATTTGCCAACTAACGGAAGAGCGTTTTGAAGTCAGTTGGTTACGTTTTTCTAAAAAGGATGTAACATGGCAAGACCAAAAAAGATGAATTAGCGTCTCTGAGGAATTGTTGCAAAAGGCATATATGTCATTTTCTTTTCGTCCTATTTTAAGTCAGAAATCATTGGTTGGTATGCGCCTATGTGATAGTATAAATTGGAACTCAGTTTGGTGCTTTTTGTGCACCATACTTTGCGCCATAAAATACGCAAGTTCTTAGTTAAATGTTCCTTCTTCGTCTGAGTAGTTACAGTCTTGAAGTCATTTTAGTTGGCTTTTACGTGCGGTTAAACTATTGGCTCTGGTCAGCTTTTGGTAAATTAATGGACCTAGCTTTTCTCTTTTAACAATTCAGTTGTCACTCGGTGTTTCAAAGTTATAGTCTTTTGTCTCAGCAGTATCGGTAACATTTTTGCGAATTCGTTGGACAGCTGATAGTTAACCGTAAAAACTGAGCGGGCGTACTCTTAAATCATGTTTGGAGGCAAAATCTTTGAGAGTCAGAAAATTATCGTTTCCGGTTTGGACGTGTTTAACTTTGGAGATACTTATTTCAAACCACTCTTTAAAAAAGAAATTTTTCATTATCTATCCTTATCAAAGAGTTGAACCACAGAACCTGTTCTTGACAAGCGATATCAGAACTTACTTTATCCACAAAGTTTATTTCTTTCCAATATTCCAATTTTTCTTTAGTTACGGGGTCCGTTGCCCTAATCTCTTTCATAGTGTCAGAGACGTTGAGTCTCAACTTGAGATTACCACGGAAAATGAGATCGCGGCCGTAGTTCTCCAGTTATAGATCAAAGATAACGTTCTATTTTCCGTTTTAAGTAGTGTTCAAGTACTTTTTAACCCATGTTGTTTTAAGAGATTTTTTGAAAGGATAAAGGTCAATCATCTTCAGACCTCCATACTCAGGTTCATTGATCATAAGTTTTCTCTTGATTTTGTCACCTTCACCATTCCATTCTTTTGTTCCTCTATAAGAGCGTAGTTAATTAAAGTGGAATGGTTGGGAAACCCTTTGTTATAGGTTTTTTTTGGCTTTTTTGGACCTGACCGTGCACAACGTTCAATAGCATTCCTATCATTTGGAAGTTTTTGACCAATAGAAACATTGCATGAATTTCTTCATTGATAATTTGTGAAAAGAAAACGAAGGATTGTGCACGGTCAGGGTGCTTCCAACATAACCTACAGCACCATTGTTTCCAACTTTGATGTTTGCCGGGTTTCCTAATTAGTCTCCTCTACTAACTATGATAAGAGTACGTACACACTGACCAGTTTGTCCTCGCGTATCCTTTGCGGGTTACATATAGCCTCTCTTACGTGGCCTAGAGTATATGGAATGGGGTAGTTTGACGAGGAGTATGCCAATTTCTGGGTGAATTGTGTTATCACTCTATTCTTTACCTTTCTCGGTTTTTGTTCCCAACTAATACAACTGTTACTGCTATGAAAAATCAATACGAATTCCCCTGGGAAGGGCAGAAGTTGACAGATAAACCGAGGTTAACCTTCCGAGCTAACATATCACTCTTCACTGCTGTCCACATATTTCATCTGATACTCAGGATTGGAGAAATCTTTTTAAATATCTAGACAATTTTTCTACGGGACAGATCGTTAAAGTGGGCTCAAAGTAGGACGTACGGTTGTCAGTTAAGCTTCCAGTATTCTTGATAGTCGGTTCAGCTCAAGGGTGGAAATTCAAGTGACTAAGTGTTTACAAGCACTGCAGCTCTCAGCTGAGCTCTATTAGTCTTCTATTTAGTGCAGACGATAGAGAGAATGTTCCCACAGACAAATACCGTCGTTTAGGCGAAAAGTAGGCGCTTTG